CAGCTCCAGCACCTCCAGCTCCAGCACCTCCATCTCCAGTGTCAGCACCTCTAGCTCCAGCACCTGTACCGCGAGCACCCCCAGCGACAGGACCTCCAACGACAGCACCCCCAGAACCTCCAACAGCAGCACCAGGAAGTGGCAACGACGACGGCTGCTGCTCCCATAACAACGGCCGCTGCAGCACTGACTGCAACGCACCCCCAGACCCTCCAGCAGTGGCACCATCGACCCCACCAACAAGAGGACCCTAGCACCCCTAGAGTCAGCGCCCTCAGAACCAGCACCCCCAGAGTCAGCACCCCCAGAACCAGTACCCCCAGCGTCACCATCCCCAACAGCGCCAGGGCCCCCGGAGTCCACAGCGATAGGCTACGGAGGAGGCAAAGACGCCCGATGCGGAAAATCCGGAGGTGTCTCCAAGAGCGGCAGGCGACAAGAGGCCGCTGTGTCGTCAGCAGCAGGGTCACCCCCCTCAGCCGGGCCAGAGGAGACTGAGGAGAGCTCCAAAGGCACAACCGAGGGGAGTGGGGTGACGCGCGACACAGCCGAAGGAGCAGGACGGGGGGGGGAGGGGGTCTACCTGGTGAGGACCGGGTACCAGGAAGAGAGGCAAGGGGGGCACGGGGCAACTGCGGTATGGGTAGAGACGGTAGTAGCAGACCGACTCGTCAAAGGTGACGTCTCGGGAGGACAGGACGCGGCGGATGGCTGGGTGTTAAAACTGCCACTCAGGCGCGTTGGTGGGAAAGTCAAGGAAGACGCAGCGAACAGTGCGGGGAGAGTGCTTGTCCGCGGTGGGATCGTGGACAAGGGCAAGCGAGGCCCAAACCCGAAACGGCGACGCATCGCCCACCTCCCCTGTCCAAAGGAGGGTGGGCGAGACCTCTGGCTGTGAAACACGCGACCAGAGGTTGAGCTGATGCGCGGCGTATCGAACCGCAAACGGCCACAGGAAATGGGAAGCAGCCTCATGGATCATGGAGGTGCGAGCATCCTCCATGAGTAGGCCAATGCAGTGCTCCGCGATCCCATTCTGCTGTGAAGAGGCCGGAAGAGTGAACGACTGGGTGATGCCCTCCTCATGACAAAAGTCCTCAAGGAGACCGGAGGAAAACTCACCTCCATGGTCAAGGTGCAGACGAAGCACCGGGAGGTCGTGCTGGAAACGAGCTCGCTGCTGGAGACGAACAGCACGGATCCAAGGGATAAAAACACCACTAACGTCCCCCTTATGCTGTAAGGGAAACACTGTGGTGTAGCGCGTGAAGTCGTCGACAACCAGCAAAAAGTAGCGCTCCCGGCACGGCCCATGGACGGGGGCAGGGCCCCACACGTCCATGTGCAGCGTCTGCAGAGGAGCAGTGGTCGGAGGAAACGAGGAGGAGTGAGGAGCAGCGAGCTGCCGCCCCTCGACGCAGAGAGTGCACGGCGGCGCAAGCGACGGTGGGAGCGGGGGCAGGGTCTACGAGAGCCAGAGACAAGGCGACGCGAGCGCATGTTGCGGAGGCGGGGAAGGGAGGGGTTACCAAGATGGTGGTGCCAGAAGAAAGACTGGTGCGTGAGCAACCGACACGAGCAAGATGCCGCTACCTGACCTGACGCAGCCACCTGAGCGGACTCAATGTGCAGTGTATACAGTCCAGACCCAGGCCTCCGTGTGAACGTGGCAATGTAATCTCCAGTCTTTGTGTCCGGATCGCCACGCGCTCGCCCCCAGGAATTGTGGTGGTCACCAACTGATCCTGGAGGTAACCGGTACTCACCAAGTTCGTAGCGAACGAGGGGAGGTGGAGACCTGTGAGGGAGCCAGAGGGGACTGCCGAACGAGTGGTCCAGAGGTGGGGTCGGCCAGAGTGACAGGGACAGGTGCCGAGAGCGGTGTGACAGTGGAGTCGCGGAAGAAGCACCGAGTCGCGCCGGAGTCCAGCGTGAACGAGAGCAACGCCTCCGCAGGAACTGCACCTGTGCTAGCAGTCTCACAAGCACCTAGACTAGCATCCTCTACACAGACTGATCTAGGCGTACAAGAATAACAGTCACCCTCATCACTAGGACCAACAGCATACATGGCATACATGCCTACATAAATCTTGTCCCAATCAAGCTAAAATATATCAACGCCCCTCCTGAGCAATCCAAACCAGTCAGGGACCCTGGCCTGCTCACCGAACTCGCCACGGAAAGCGTCCTCGAGGCAGAAGAAACAGCGAGCCTCACCGTGCCCCACCTTGCCGCAGGGGTCGCCGGCCCGAGGGCCAGTACGACGCACGTACGGGCAGGGACCAGTAGCAGAGCGACCACCGCCGGTGGAGCCCCTCTCAGCAACCCACTCACAAAGCTGCTGCGGCGAGGGAGTCTCCTGTCGACATGGCTGCTGCGGCTGCTGCAGTCCACCCGCAGAACCGCCACCTCCACCTGCTGCTCCACCAGACGCAGCTCCACCAGACGCCGCACCAGTGCCACCACCCCCGCCACCTCCTCCACGACCACCACTCCCACCTCCTCCGCCACTCCCACCACCCCCGCTACCCCCACCACCCACGCCTCCCCCACCGCCTCCGCCACCTCCACCAACCCCACCACCCCCACCCCTCTTGCGCGCACCCCTGTTGCGCCTCCCGCTAGGAGCGGACGCAGCTCCGACCTCCTCAGGACCGAGGAAGTCAACAGCAGCAGCAGAGGCAACAGAGGACGCCAGAAGGGAGGGAGTGCACCCCTAAAAAAACGAGGTGCTGGGGGTGCCACGGGAGGCAGCGACGACGCGGGCACTGGTCTCGGCCTCGAGGAGACGAGTCTCAAACGAGTCAAGGGTGAGACTAGTGGGGTTTAGGGAGAGGAAGTGGTCTTGAACAGCACGAAGGGTGTCAGGGAGGCGAGTCACGAGGAAGTACAGAGTGAGGTACATGGGGGATGGTTCTCAGCAAGGAACTCTGGCTGGAGAGCAGCACGATAGCGAGTGTCAAGGGAGCGCAGGTGGGTCACGAGGTCAGCTACAGTGGTGAAGGCTGACAGCTCCGGGAAGAGAAACGGCAGCGCAAGACGGCCTAGGGTGGCAGAAGAGGGGGAGGAGTAGCGTTTAACTGCAGCAGCATAGAAGTCCTGGGCCGACTTCACCTGTCGAAAGTGGCCCTCTGGTCGGGCGAGAGGTGAGTGCGGACTGCAAGTGTAGTAGTGGCGTCGAGTGCCGCCCACTGTGTGCAGGCAAGGCGGTCAGCACGGTACTTCTTCTGCACATCCTCTACAGCGGTAGCGCAAGGCTCTACTGGAGGCTTGGAGGCCTTGAGGGACCCCGACGTGTTCTGAAACAGCGAGACATCGTCTTGGTAACACTTTGCAGGTACAGGTGCAGGTCCTCTAGCCAGGAATCGAACTCAATAGGGCGCCCCTCTGCGTCAAAAGCTAGGACAGTGATAGTCGACATGGCAGAAACTAGGTTAGGCAGTAGCACTAGGAACGAGCTGCAGAGCTAGGCACGGGCGGCGGCTCGAGGTGCAGCGGGAGAACGGACACCACGGCAGTAGGTGAGCGGCTCGGCAGCAGGCAGAGCAGCAGTGTGGCGCGGCACGGCAGTAGGCACGGCGGCGCAGCGCGACGCGGCAGTAGGCAGGGCGGCGCGGCACGGCTCGGCAGGGCGGCGCGGCGCGGCGCGGCAAGGCGGCGCGGTGCGGCAGGAGGCAGGGCGGCGCGGCGACAGGTAGCGCCGGTTGCGAATGGTAGCGCGGGGCAGCGCGGGCGGCGGGGCGGCAGCGCGGGGTTCAGCGCGGGCGGCAGCGTAGGTGGCTGTGCAGGCGGCAGCGCAGGGCAGGACGGGGCAGCGCGGTCGGCAGCGTGGCAACATGGGCGGCAGCGCAGGCGGCGGCGCGGCGAGGCAGCGCGGTCGGCGGCGCGAGCGGCAGCGCGGCAGCGCGCGGGGCAGCGCGAGGCAGCGCGCGCGGGGCAGCGCGGGCTGCAGCGCGGCAACGTGCGGGGCAGCGCAAGGCAGTGCACGCGGGGCATCGCGAGCGAGGTAGCGCGCGTGGCAGCGGGCAGCAGTGGTAGTGCGCGGCACGGCGGTAGGCCAGCAGGCGGCAGCGGGCAGTAGTTCGCGTAGGAGGGCAGTGGCGCGCGCTAAAGCAGCAGCGCGTAGGGCAGTAGGGCAGGCAGAACGAACCTACTCGATGATACCATGTTAGAAAGTAGGAACAGTGGAATGATTGCATTGAGCAGCATGGGTGATACAAGTATGAACCATAAAATGGTTGTACCTGTTAGAGTAGCCTCTTAGGCTTAGGACTTAGGAGATGGAGATGGCAAGAGTAGCGAGAGGTTAGGCCAAAGAAGAGGGGTTTCAATATGGAGTTGGTAGTACAAATAGGAATGAGAGAAGGGAAAGGGTACGCCACCAGCAGTTGGTATCCAAAACTAACCTAGTACACTAGCTAACAGTAGGCAGCTATAAGATGTATGCAAATATTCAACAGTACCCTCTACAGCATGCCTCACTATAGCCTACAACACAAATATAACATTTGACACATAGGCTAAGAAATGTAACACAACCAATGTAACACATACAACTTTGACACCTACGATTTATGTGTGCGACTCAAGGCCCAGGTTTATAAGGTTGAACTTCGATAGTCGACCATTGCTGCTGCGACGTGCTTAAGTTGAAAGGTGATCATGCGGTTCGAGCATCAAAAGCCGAGATAGTCGACTACAGGTCGACCAGAGTCATTTGTTAGAATTCAAGTAAAGAACCCAAACTTTACAAACTGCGGCGAAGGACACACGGCGGAATGCAGCCCAGGGCTGACGTTTCATTTTGGGCCTCCCTGATTCCGGGGAAAAATTTCCCCTTGTATTATGTTGGCACATTTTCCACAAGGTGGCTACTCTGATAGCTCAGTGTCTTACTCTGTTTCGTCAGGGTTCACAGCACAAGATTAGGGTTGTGTTTAAAATTTCTCTGCACTTCACAATGTTTCATACAACATGCAGAAACTATCCTACACTATCTAGTGCACGGGCATGTCAATGTGGTACACCTCCTCCACGTCCTCATCGTCCGACAGGAAGGGGTTGTCTTCCTCCTCCTCCTCCTCCACGACCTCCTGATCGTCGCCCAGGTCCTGCTCCACTTCATCCTCCTCCTCCTCCCCCTCATCTTCGTTCTCCCCGGCAGCTCCAGCAGCCACTTCGTCCTCCTTCTGCTTGCCCTTCGTGTCCCTCTCTGCCACAGCCAGCTTCAGGCTCTTCACAGGGCGCCTCCTCCGCATGGACCTCCACACCTCCAGTGCTTCCGGCCAGTCGACCTCATACCTCAGGAGCGAGATCTGCATCAGCTCGCCCAGTCGCGCGTTGCAAAGCGCTCCACGCACCAACGACTTGATGACGTTTTGCCTGGAGAAACCCCTCTCGCACTCCACGGTGGAGAGGGGGAGCACAGCGAGCGCCTGCCACAGAAGGATGAGGTTGGGCCATCTCCTGCCAAGCACATTCAAGCACCCAAAGAGAACGAAAGTTTAGCCAAACTATCATTCGCATACAGCAATGACCAGAGCAGAGCGATACCTCTTGGAGTCTGCACTGGCGAGAAAGTTGGTCAGGCCCTGCGAGAAGCTCTCCAGCTCGTGGTGTGTCTCCATGATCGCACAGAATGTCGGGAGCTCTCTCGCTCTGCTGCCTTGAGGTCAAATCCAGGGAGCTTGTTGCGGAAAAGCTTGCTGCATCCCTGCAGCCACTCACGGCACTTCTTCTCTCGCTGAGCCTTGATCTTCGGCCACTTCCCCGCCCGGAACAGCTTCGTCGGTCCCAGCTTCCCCAGGTTGTCCAGACGGTCGTTCAGGTTGTCCACGCAATCCCTGGCGAAGTTGCGGCACAGCTTTACGCAATCGGCGTATGTGCTTCCCGTCTTGTGCCCCTTCAGCTTCCTCTCGTGCATGGTGTAGAGGTGGTTGATTGGGCGTCCCTCCCCGTCCACGCCTCGCACCCGGACCTGCTTGCCCCCACCCTCCTTGTGGAGCTTGAGAAAGTTGAACAGCCAGCTCTTGCCCTCTCCTCCGAAAGGCTTTCCGTTCGCCAAGTACCGCTCCGTCAGATCCCCCGTGGTGGACTCAATGGTCTTCGAGATCTCTGTCACATCCAACTGTTGTGCAAACATCAGAAACAGGTATAGCGGTTAGCAACACTATAAAACAATATGTACAATCACATGCCATCACACACTGGTTTAGTATCTTACCTCGCGCTTCTGGAAGCAACGGTTGAGGTCATTCATGTCCGCGAGGATGTCGGCGAGGAAAAACAGGCAAAACTGGAACTTGTAGCACGTCACAATCTCGTAAGCCTTGTGGTTGTGCTCCCAGAGCAGCACGATGCATGCGCCGATGACCTTGCACAGCCGGCGAACCGCATCCCCTCGTGACAGCCAGGGAACTGTGTGGATGCCCTGGACCTCAAGATTCGTGTTGTAGATCACTCGCTGCAGGTACTTGAACCGTTGACTCCAGACGCTTGAGGCTCCGAGCAGCGTCGCCACAGTGCGCACCACCTTGTCGACCATTCCCAGGTCCGGATTTGACTCAGCAGTGTCCTTCACAGCCAGGGCCTCTCTGTAGGACGCACGGGACATAATTAAACACAGGTTTAGGACAGTAATCCCACGTAGATGGGTATGCAGAACAACTAGCATATACACCGGTGGGCGATGCAGGAAAAAAGGTGCGGGACGTGTTCCCGAAGACGCGCCACCAATCCGTTATCCTTCCCCGTCATGACCGACGCCCCGTCCGTGCTGATGCCAACAATCTTGGACACATCGACGGCTGCGGAGCGGAGATGGTTCAAGAGCACCTCGAACAGAGACCCTGCATCACACCTCTCAACCGCCAGCAAGGTAAAGAACTCGCATGCGACTTGGCGATTCTTCAGAAACGTCAGGTAAACAATCATGTGTTTTCCTCGCGTCCGGTCGGTGCTCTCGTCGCAGCTGATGCCCAGGAAGGGGGAAGATTGGATGTGGTCCATCTGCACCCGCGTGAGGTAAGTACTGATGCGGTGGACCATCTGCTGGAAGCCGTACCATCGCAGTTAATACTTAAATTGGTTGGTCACTGTTCAGCAATACAAGCAAACGCAGCTTGCTCAACAAAGCAACACACCAAAGGAGCGACATACCGTGTCAGATAGACCCCGTAGGATTGCCTCGGAATGTCAGGCGTGTCCTGCTCCGCAAGATGCCGCATCAGCTTCGGGAACATGCTGATCGGCGCGTCGCACTGGCACAAAAACTGAACCGACCGCATGAGTCGAATCGCGCGCCGCCCCTCGACGTCCGAGTTGATGAAGGCCGAAATCACCTGCTGACCCTCGCGAATGCCCTGCGCAATCTTCATATGCCGATCCACCGCCGCCGTGTGTGCGTCTGTGTGCTCGTGCGCCCTGAACGACTGCGTCTGCAAGTCACGGCCACCGTCATCTCCTTGCCTGGCGTACTTCGTGTTCTCCTTGTCGTACGACATGCAGATGCTGCACTTCACATAGGGAAAACCATCCTTGGTTTTCCCAAACACCAGCCACGAAAACATGCCCGACCACTTCGTCTCGTAGTTGATACTCGCCTCCAGGTACATCTTGGTGAGTGCGGGCGAGCCGGTGTCCGCGCGGACTGGGATATCACCTTCCTCCGGGAGCTCAGCGACATCAGGTGGACGATCTGCCGGCTTATCGGGATGTGGAACATGGCGGCCACCGACGACCAGCGTACTCTGCGCCCACTTCCCAGATCGCGCTCGCTTGGGAGTGGAAGAAGCAGACGGCGGACCAACTGACACCCGCACGGTGCTAGGAGTTGGACTCGGCGAGGGCGGTGGGGGATCCTTACTGCAAGAAGCAACAGCCGGGGGTAGAGTGAAGGTGGCGGGACGGGGAGAGTCAGCGGAAGTGGCGGTGACTTTAGCTGCAGAGTCGTGAACGGTAGACCTAGGAGGATCGGGCGTTAATGGAGCACCGCTAGTTCTAAGAAAATCCAGCCCAGATCGGGGGGCATCAGAAGCTTTCTCTGGCAAGGTGGGCTCCGTGAGTTTCGCCGGTAAAGGAGAAGCATCGTCGTCCGGCAGGCCTTCCATGGCGGCGAGATTGGAGGAACGAGAGATGGGAGGAGAAAGAACGGACGAAATGAAAAATACAGCGCACCTCCACGAGCCTGGCTGGGGGTAGGGGGGAGGAAGAGAAGGTTGGAGAAGGCGGGGTCATCAAGAAACCTCCGCGTCGCCACGCCACGAATTTGATGGCTCGAGTCGTCAATGAATTAGGGCGTTGATGCAAGGCGGAATACATTGAACGCTTGCTTGCCTGCCAACACCGACTGTCAAGATGCTTCTCTGGCCAATGAGAGAGTCATGCTGGGCATTGCGCGGTGCGCGTGGCAGCAAACGATCATTTTGTGGTTGCGCTGTCACAGTTGAAAGCTGTGCTGTACAGCGTGGTGTTGGGTTTTTTGTCGGTATTACGTCAGTCCTCCGCGTGAGAAGGGGTCCCTCACATGGGTGCATGCGAAGTCATGATTGCGCACATGGGGGGTTATCGGGACGAAATTTCGAGGAACCTTCGCCCCGATACCCTCGCATTCAGGGTCCACATGATGCGTACTCTACATTGACAGAGTCAGTAAAAACACTACTCTGAGCCTAGTTACAGGATTTCAGGGTTCCCTAAAGCACTATTCTGAATGGATCAGTGTTCAAAAGATAAGAATTCTGAAATTGCAGGGACCACCAGGTGAGAAGCCTGTAATCACCCTGAAATCAGGGTACCGTAATTACCCTGATAAAATCAGCCCTGATGCAGCCCCGTCTTGCTTGCTAACTGGCATGCACAACCAGGTCCTGCTAGGATTTCGATGTACTACTGAGCTGCTTGCACACTTCTTGGCAAGGAGAATTCAGCATAGACTGGGTAATGGCTTGATGGTAGCTTTCCTCCCCAAGTGCTAATCACCACCTCGCAATAGGAAGGATTCAGTGCACGGCCATAGCGGAACATCCAGTCAGTATGAAGTGGGTCTACAATACCCGGATCACTCTCAGCTGTACATATCTCCAGCGCACTTTTGACAATTTGCAAGCAAGACATGTCATGACCTGAAAGGAGTAACGCAATCAGTTGAAACGAGGAGAAGGAAAAGCAAGTGACCTGGGGAGATAAATTTGTTGTCAAGAACCTTGAAAGCGATGGTGGGAATATATGTGGCCCGTGTTGATTTTCTTGCGTGCGATGGACAACACATCTTTGAAATCCCCTTCTATGCCATTCAGCCTGCCACATGCGAAGTGCATAAGCATTGGAACGAGCAATTGCATCATCCAATGATGCCTCACCAAACAACCACATACTTCCAGCTTCCAAGGAAGAACCTTGCAGTCGCAGATCCCTTGTTCTTGTTGAAATTCGCACACATGAGCGCAGGAATAGACGGAGGCACAGAGCTGATGTGCTGCCAGAGAAGCAATGCTCCTTTCGCTCTGGCTGAGGAGCTTCCTGTCTTCATCCTGACATTATAAGCTTGAAACGCAAATCCTGGTGGCTGTAGCCCTCGCACTCGAAATTTGACCCAAGTTACAACTGCAGGAGTGGATGCACCCCAGGATGTGCTCCCACACACTTCAGGCGTCTCTGAGAGCCAGAAATTCCCACTCTCCATCACCTCAACCTGAAACAACAGCATGTGTTTTATGGCTTCCACACATAAATACATAGGTAAAACGGGTTTTGATATCAACAGTGATCTCACGTTAGACGTGAGCCGTTTGTGGTACGGTAGCTTTGCTGACATGGGTACCCACCTGGTCTCGATTATAGAAGATGGCAGAATATTCTTCGCCAGGAGCGTCTTGGCTCTTAGATCCAAACCACTCGTATGCTGCTGGTCGTAAAACATGTTTCAACCTTTCCTCCATAATCACTATGACAGTCAAAGACCGACAATGCCATACCTTTCAGCTCTCTGTGAAGATACTCGAGCTGCTCCTTGGATCCTGAACTCAATCCATAATTAGAAACGAGGCTCTGGAACGCGGATTCGAAGCTGGAAAGACGGATCGCTACCTTCTTGAGTGAAAATCAGGGTGGGATGAAACTTTTGCAACATCTCGAGGCATGCGAATTTGCGTGACTCCCAAGAATTCGGGCTGCTTTCCGGTTCTGTGGAGTCTAAATTCAACATAAGGGCAGAGATTGCCCCGAGGAAAGCCATAACGCGCTTTGCAATCACGTCTACTACTTGGAATTCTCAAAACTGAACCCAGTATTCTCTAACCAAACGTCTACCGCACGGACCCACACTGAGTAGACTCTACTTGTTTCACTACTGGTAGTTAGCATAACTAATCCAAACAATTAGCTTGTGTTCGTGCGGAACCACGCAACTCGCTAGCTTAGCAGGAAGCACATGCTCCGGTGACTATACCGAGCCTGTGCTGACCATGGGTGGGATACACATCCCTGGTACACCTGTTCACTATCAGCGCGCATCAAGAACGGGAGTGCTGACATCTGAGTTTGCGAGGTACCCGTTCGGCCAGACACGCAGGCCAGCAACTGTGCAGCAACTGTGGAGGGACGAGTCTTTCTGGGGGTCGATCCCTAGGTACGAACAGACACGGGGCTGGTGTTGGGTTGAGCGAGAACCAAATTGGAAACTGAAATCCAAAACGGGTGATAATACAGGAAGTTCTAGCACCAGTATAAGTACTCTCTGGTAGACAATTGATGTTGGGATGAATTGATGTTGGGATGAACTTCAATTATCAATGAGCTACTTATAGCATACACAGAATTCGAACAGATTGAATGAAAATCAAGTTAAATGAGATCAATAGTCCAAATAGATGCGCACGATCAGAATGTCAGAGAACGGAACAGTAATCCTCCGCTCCCGATTCTTCCGGCTCAAAGGCCGTCCCTTCCCTCCATACAACTCCCTGTTCAACCTCACATCAGCAACCCTCCATACAGTCACACGCTCCTCATCCACCTCCACTAATGAAAGAATCTCCTCAGAGGTCTTCCCTCCCGAGGGAATTGTGCTCCCTCCACTCGTGCTCGTGCTCCCTCCAACCCCGATATCCCCCTTATTAGCTTCTTTCGTGTCCTCTGCACTGTCTGCTTCGCCAGGCAGCCGGTAGTGTACGTACATTGGAAGCTCCTTGAACCGGATTAAATCGTCTGGAACCTTGACCACACGTTCGGCACCAGGGGAAGAGACCTGGAGGAGAGAAAGGGGTGGGAAAAGAGCCAAGAAACCGAGTTTTGAGAATTTGTCAACAAGTTTTGACCAACAAGAATTGAGAGATTGTCAACAGGATTTGACCAATAAGGTTTGAGACCTTGTCACAGCAACAACAGGACACATCACAGAGCCTGGGGAAGCGACGTGAGGAGAAAAGGAGTACAAAATAAGGAAACCAATTAACTGATAAAGGCAACAACCAGCCCACCAATGCCTGATTGGAATGCTCTTCGCCCTTACAATACCAAGATAAAGGCACCTCCTCCTTTATTTGACTCTCTCGCCCCTCTCCCCTGCAGCAATGACCAGCGCATTAAAACTGTATAATCACCGCCCTATTCTCAATCAACGCAACCCCACCGTTCCTCCCCCCCTTCCCACTTTCCTCCTCACCTTGACCTTGATGTCTTGAGGTGTCTCGCCCCTCTCCCCAGCAGCACCGACCAGCGCGTTACATTGCTATGCGCAGTCCCCGGCCCCTTCTTTGCTCCATCCCACTCATCCCCCCCACGCCCCCACAAACAGCACCCTCCCTCCCCTCACCTCAATCTGAATGTCCTGAGGCAGCTCGCCCTGAGGCAGCTCGCCCTGAGGCAGCTCGCCCCTCTCCCCTGCCGCAATGATCAGAGCGTTGAAGCCGTCCAATCACGGCCCTAGACGCGTTCGCCATAAGCTAAACCCCCTCTGTCCCCATTCCCCTCACCTCGATCTGAATGTCCTGAGGCAGCTCCCCCTCTCCCCAGCAGCAATGGCCAGCGAATTAATGACGTACAACCAGGGCACTATACTCGTTATAAGCTACCGTCCCTACCCATCCCCGACCTCCACAATCGCCCCACGTCCTTCACCTTACTCACCCTACTCACCTCAATCTGAATGTCCTGAGGCAGTTCGCCCCTCTCCCCAGCAGCAATGACCAGCGCGTTGAATTCACGGAGGAACGAGTCTATGTCCTCCACCATTGGGGAGCCGTAGCTGCATTGGTGGGGAGTTGGGGGGGTTGTTAAAGGGGGCATCTGCGGATTAGGGATGGCAGCTCGCCCCTCTCCTCTCCCCCAGCAGCAATGACCAGCGCGTTGAATTCACGGAGGAACGAGTCTATATCCTCCACCAATGGGGAGCCGTAGCTGCACGGGAGGGAGTGGAAAAGCAGATGCGATGAGCATTAGAGATGGAGGGTATTGGAGCAATACCACCTGAGGCACACATTGGGGCATCTCGCCCCTCTCTCCCCAGCAGCAATGACCAGTGCGTTGAAGTCAAGGAGGAACGAGTCTATGTCCTCCACCATGGGGGAGCCGTAGCTGCACAGTAACAGAGAGCAGGGGGAGGAGGGGTTCGGTGGGGGGGTCGGATTAGCAAGTGGCCAGTGCGTTGAAGTCAAGGAGGAACGAGTCTATGTCCTCCACCATGGGGGAGCCGTAGCTGGGGGATGGGGGATGGCGGATGGTGGATGATGGGGGACCGGGGGATACGGAAAGGTTGCACGTGGAGCAGCAATGACCAGCGCGTTGAAGTCAAGGAGGAACGAGTCTATATCCTCCACCATGAGGGAGCCGTAGCTGCAAGGGTGGGGAGTGGGGAATGAGGGATGGTAAAATGGTGAAGGTTAGGGATGTAAGGGTTAGGATAAGGGCTTAGGGATACAGGTGCACGGACATCCATTTTCTCCTGGAGTGATATTTAAGTGGACTAAAAAATCACCTCCAGATCAGGATAATGGATTAGGGATAAAATCTTCCTTCCCCCCTCCTCCTCTCCCACCCCCCCAATTCCCCTCCTTCCTATTCCCCACACGCGGTTCCCCTCCCCCAAATTCCCCTGCTTTCAGTTTTTTTCCCCGCAATTCGCTTCCACTCACACGTCACTCAGCTTGTCCAGTCGCACGCGGATCCAGTTCCTCTCAGGGTAGACCTTAAAGCCATACAGCTCAAACTCCCCTCCGTACTTGCTCCCTCGCTACCTCCCAGGCCGAGTCCAGAGCCTTCCACTCTCCCAATTTCCCTCCCCTCACTCCCCCCCACTCACACATCGGTTAGTTTGTCCAGTCGCACGCGGATCCAGTTCCTCTCAGGGTACACCTGAAAGCCATACAGCTCAAACTCCGCCTTCCTTCCGCCTATATTTGGTAGCCCTCCCCCTTTTCCCACCCCCCACTCACACATCGGTCAGCTTGTCCAGTCGCACGCAAACCCAGTTCCTCTCAGGGTACACCTTAAAGCCGTACAGCTCAAACTCCCCGCCATACTTGCTCCCTCCCAGGACCTCCTGAGCCAATTCTAGCACTGTCTGCCCCCTCCCTCCCCCTTCCCCCCTCCTCCTCCATCTCCCCCCCACTCACACATCAGTCAGCTTGTCCAGTCGCACGCGGATCCAGTTCCTCTCAGGGTACACCTTGAATCCGTACAGCTCAAACTCCCCTCCGTACTTGCTCCCTGCTAGCACCTCCTGAGCCAATTCCAGCGCTGTCTGCCCCCACGCTGCCCCGTTCAGGACGAACCCTCCACCATCCAACCCGTCTCCAGGCTGTTGGAGGGAGAAAAGTAGGTGAAAGACGGAAGGAAGGGAGTTTGTATTGTTGAACAGCTCACAGCTCATACACCCCACCGTACTGGCTCCCCCCTAGAACCTCTTGTGCCAATTCCAGCGCTGTCTGCCCCCATGCTGCCCCGTTCAGGACAAACCCACCGCCGTCCCACCCATCTCCAGGCTAAAAGGGAAGGGAACAAAAGAAAGGGAGGCGAGAAGGATGAAGGAAGGACGATTTGAATAGTTGAGCAATTCGCACTCTCTGACTACCCCTCTCCCCCGCCATACTTGCTCCCCCTAGAACCTCCTGTGCCAATTCCAGAGCCGTCTGTCCCCACGCTGCCCCGTTCAGGACCAAGCCTCCCCCATCCAACCCGTCTCCAGGCTGGGAAGGGGGAAGGGCGGGGGAAGAGAGGGAGGCGAGTAGGAGAAAGGAAGGGGGTTTATATTGTTGAACAATTCACACTCCCTGACTCCCTCCTCCTCCGTACTTGCTCCCTCCCTCCCACCACCTCCTGTGCCAACTCCAATGCCGTCTGCCCCCATGCTGCCCCGTTCAAGATCAAGCCACCGCCGTCCAACCCATCTCCAGGCTGGAATGGGAGGGAAGGAAACGGAGGGAGGGGAGCAGGAGCAAGGAAAGTGTTTACAGTACAGCTCATACTCCCCCCCTTACTTGGCCCCCACTAAGGCCTCCTGGATCTACCCCAATGCTGTCTGCCCCCATGCTGCCCCGTTCAAGACGAAACCACCACCGTCCAGCCCATCTCCAGGCTGGAATGGGAAGGAAGGAAAGGGAGGGAGGGGAGCAGGAGGAAGGAAAGTGTTCACAGTACAGCTCACACTCCCCCCCTACCTGCCCCCCACTACGGCCTCCTGGGCCTACTCCAAAGCTGTTTGCCCCCATGCTGCCCTGCTCAAGATGAAGCCACCGCCGTCCAACCCGTCTCCAGGCTGGGAGAGGGAGGGAAGGAAAGGGAGGCATTTCTGAGTTTTTTCAAGGAGGGAAGGGAGAGGAGAGGTACTTGATTTGTCTTCGCTTGAAGGTGGAATGGAAAAAAGGAAGGGGTTTATAGATGGGGGAAAAAAATTGTTTTTATCCCCCTAAAACCTCGATCTAAACCCTAAAGCCCGAACCCTGAACGTTGAAGCCCGACCAGAAACACGAAGTCCGAAACTTCAAACCCTGGACGAACCGATTCTTGAGTAGACTCTAAAATTGAAACCTTAAACCCTGGATGAACTGTGATAGCCGCTCTAGTCCTCTTGGCAGGGACGGGGGAAGGACTAGACCCGCCAGCTACGTCCTTTCCCCGTCCCCTCACTCAGCCTCACCTCACCAAATTTCTCCCAGCCCACCACACCTACTCACCACTCACCACCACTTTGCACTGCTTACCACCACGTCGGCCGCATCCTCGTCCTCAAACTCCCACTCGTCCTCCTCCTCCTCCTCTTCCGCCTCCTCCCTGTTGTCACCCGCCACATCCCCATCCTCTGTTGCATGTGAGTGAATGGAGAGCAAATGGGTGGGGGTCGTGGGGAGGGATGGAGAAGTGAGGGTCAGAAGGAACACAGGGAAACGGGGATTCGGCGCCTACCACATCCTCCTCCTCCAACTCCCAGTCCTCATCCGCCTCCTCCCTGTTGTCACCCACCACATCCTCATCCTCTGTTGCATGTGAGTGAATGGAGAGCAAATGGGTGGGGGGCAGGCATAGGGAGGGACAGACGAAGCACAGAGAAAGGGGAAATCAGTGCCTACGGCTTCCTCTGTTGCCAAAAGTGAAGCCAAGTTGGAGGAACGGGGAGGGACGGAGGGAAAATCAGAGCCACAAGCAGCAGACAGACAGGAGGTGGGTGATTGTGTGGCTTTCCAAGGCATTCCTACCTGAGGGCTGCTGCATCCATCGACCGAGCTAACAAACATTCCGTGTGTGCCTCGTCTCTACTCTACTCCACTCGCTGCAGCACGATCGTCCCAAGTGTTGCTCACAGTCGAAGATCCAATCCAATCCAATCCACTCTACTATTCATCCAATCCAAGCGACAGTGACCAGACAGACACTAACACCATCGTACCTTTCGTGCCTTCACTCTCCTCCACACGCTGTAACACGACCGTCTCAACTCCCTCTGCCACCGGCCCTTCTGCCTCCACCCACGTGCCGTCATCCCCCTTATAGAGCACCACCGTTTCGGCATAAGCCGTTTCATCCCCCTTATAGAGCACCACCGTTTCGCCATCAGTTTCCCCAAAAGGCGATTCTTCCTCGGTTTTCTTTCCTGGAGCATTCTCAATAGAACCACTTTGATTCGCTTCAACGTTATTTACCGTTTCCATCCCCTCCTCGACCTCCATCCCAAACCCTACCACCTCGCCTTTCTTCCCCTCCTCCTCCTTCCTCTCCCTCTTATCCCGCTTCTCCTTTTTTCCCTTCTTCTCCTCCTTCTCTTTCTCCTTCTTCCCTTTCTTCTCCTTCTTCTCCTTTTTCTCTTTCTTCCCCTTACTCCCTTCATCCGATTCTCCAGCTGTCACATCCACCACATCCTCGATAGTGACACTCTCGCTATTGTCACCGGCGTCTCCTGAAACTGCCAGCAATCGCAGAACTTGCTGTCGCGGCAGGGACAGTCCGAAACCCCTCGCGTGATAAAAACGAGCAGTTCTTCCAAGAGCGGAGTCGAAGCCTGCTGGACGCGTGACTGTAACGGAAGGTGGCAGAGGATTCACTCGGAGAGATGCGACTGCCGAAGGTGACAATAACAAAGGCGCAGACGCCATTGTAGCAGCTGTTCGGCTTGCAGCAGCTGGAATATTCAAAGGAGTGAATCTAAAAGCGGGATTGACTGTAACCGCGGGTTTGAATGCAGCCGCGACAGCAAAGCAGGTCAGCTTCCGAGGCGTCTCGAAAGTAGCCGCAGCAGCAATAGAGGTCAGGACTTCGCCTTGGATTTGATTCGGGAGAGAGAAACAGCCGGGGAGCGCAGAACGGTTCCAGAGACGTTGACAAACGCGCGACGATGCGGCGGGAAACGCGGCGGGAAACGCGGCGGAAAACGCGGCTCTGGAAGACATGCACTGCGCGTTGACGCGTCGCTGTGTGACGCGACTGGGAAGCGGACTGAAAGCGGAAAGGGGAGATTCAGAAGCTGGTCCAATGCGATTTGCTGGGCAAGAGGAGAAATATGTGTTTCCGTAATACGAAATTGATTTTGTATGTTCATTAGTGCAGTTCGCGTCTATTCTGCCTATGAGAGTCTCCGAGTTGAGCTGTAACGCATCAGTGCTTGCGAAACGATCGGTAGCGAAATCCAGGCACACTCGTCGCTCGAAAATAATAATCGGCGAGTGGCTTTTGAACTGGCTACAGTTCAAGCCGTGCGCCCGAGTAGCAAGGTAACACTGAGTCTGGTTGACTAAGATGTGTTGGGTGGGTACGCATCGCAGACGAGACGAAGTTCGTCGTACTACCCGATGGTACTATATCGCGGATAAACCGCTGAACTTCGCAGAGCGTCATCCGAGACTCACGCAACTCTCGAGCGTAGATTATAGTAGCTTGAAAGTTCCAGGTAGAGGACATGGTAAGTTAATTTCGTCCGATTCCTCCTGCGGCTTTTTACAAGAGCAGGCATTGGCGATGACGTGTACAAATTACCGCGCAAGCTGCCCTTGTTCATTGCCGAGATTAACTTGACGCTCGTACGCATAGACCGTTACGCATGAATAGCTAAGTTCCGTGCAAAACGTAACCCTCTTTAGCCAATGTTACATTCGTTAACGCGTCACTATAACGTGTACAAGCGGTCAGCCCGGGATGGCGAATTCCCTCTTACCGCTTGCCGTAGCGGCGACAGGCGCGCTGCTAGTCTCCGCTTCCGCCGTCACCGTCATGCTTCCGCTGCTCCCTGCCACGTGGACCAATCGCCTGGTTCCAAGCGTCGCTCTTGAAGACTTGTGAGTTGCCAGCTCAGAGGTCACCTCTGCTGATTTCATCCGATTTCATCCCATCCCATCCCATCACAGGCCTTCCCTTTCCTTTCCCATCCTTTTTCCATTCCGCGAGCTCTTTTTGCATCCCATTCCATCCGCTCCCATCCCACATCTCTCGTCTCTAGTCTCTCCCAGCCTTCCCGTATGGAGCTCACCGCCCATGGCAATTGCCTTGCTTTTCCCCCATGTCTTTCTTGCCCCCCGCCCCTCACCCAGTCCCCGTCACACAACCTCCCCTCTCCTCCTTCTCCAAGTCCCCATCCTCCCCTCCCCACCTTCCTCTTCAAACCCATCCCCTCCCCTCCCCACCCCTCCCTCATCCCCCCCCGCTTCTCTCTCCCTTCACCCCTTCCAACCCTTGATGTGCCTCTGCAGCCTCTACTATTGCAGCCTAGTGCCCATGACAGCTGTCGTCCTCGTATTGGCCGTCTACGGTCACTGGCTGTGCATCAAGCTGTACAGGCATGCGTGATTGTAGTAATGGGGGGCTTTAAGGGGCCTTCTTGCATTGGCTAGTTTGTGGCACTGGCTGTCCAACAAGCTGTACAGGCACGCGCGACTGTACAGGGGGCCGGACACGGGGGGTGTGGGTGGAGAGGGGTGCTTTAAGGGACAAACTTGCTTTGGCATCAAGCTGTACTGGCACGTGTGACTGTAAGGGGCGGTGCATCAACAGACATGACTGCTCTTCCATTACACTGATGTCATTGTAAGGAGCTCAGGGAGTAGCCACTAGGGTAGTTCACACCTCCTTAACCTCTACTGCACAAAGACAGATTGTGCTTTAATCAGCTGTACAGTACAGTACCTCATACAGGTTCAAGATTAGCGGATTGTCTTAAAAGGAGTTGCTACTGTAGGTTACGAAGAAGCTGGCTCATCGTCCATGGTAATTTGCTCCATGGTTACGTTCTCGTTGGTGTAAATGCAACAGTCTGCTGCAATGCGCATCGCCTTTTTCACTGTAGACACGATGACAGAATGGGGAAAGAGGAACATTGATTGATACTACTAACAGAGGAAGAATATACTGTAACATGAGAGTGGAGTTGGAGCATGGCCATGGCTCAAAGTGTGCCCCATCCATAACAGGAGTACGCACTTATTTTGATTGACACACACGACAAGCCTATTTTCCCCATACCATCCCCCATGCCACGCACCTGTGGCTTCAGCAATCAGGTCAGGGATGTCTGCCAATGCAATCCCATCCCACTGTATCCAACCACCCCACCCCACCCCATGCCATGCCATGGCAACAAGCTATCGCATCCCACCCCATCCCAACCCATCCGAAACCACCACGCACCTATGGCTTCAGCACTCAAGTCAGGGATGTCTGCCAAAGCTCGTGCTGCTGCCATGCCATCTTACACGTTCAAGCACTCCCGACAGACAAGCCATGCCATCCCTTGCCATGCCACGCACCTATGGCTTCAGCACTCAAGTCAGGGACATCTGCCAATGCCCATCTTGTCCCATCCCATCCCATCTCACCCCATCTCACACCATCCCAACCCATCACGCACCTATGGCTTCCGAGCTCAGGTCAGGAATGTCTGCCAATGCTCATCCTGTCCCACCCCATCTCAACCCATCCCACTCCATCCCAACCCATCACCCACCTAAGGCTTCAGCCGTCAGGTCAGGAATGTCTGCCAATGCTCATCCCGTCCCACCCCACCCCACCGCATCCCACTCCAGCCCAACCCATCACCCACCTATGGCTTCAGCACTCAAGTCAGGGATGTCTGCCAATGCTCGTGCTGCCGCCAATGCATAGGGCCCTCCGGAACCGATGCCTGAGGCAGGGGGGGGGAGATTAAATACAATGGGAGAACAAGCAGCAAGAGGTTGAGTTGGGAGAAAGAGGCAGATTCTCCACAGCCCATTTGCACACACGGTGTGGTGAAAACCAGCCATGTGAAAAAAGTGTAGTTTTGATACGTCTCAAAACTACACTTCTTTCAGAGGCAGATTCTCTACAGCCCATTTGCACACACGGTGTGGTGACAACCAGCCACGTGAAAAAGGTGTAGTCTGGGGACGTCTCAAAACTACACTTCTTGATGAAAAGGTGTCGTGTGCCATTGTAAGGAGGTGACTTTTGAGTCGACTCACAAGTCGAGACGTCTCAAAACTACACTTCTTTCAGAGGCAGATTCTCTACAGCCCATTTGCACACACGGTGTGGTGGACATGCCAACCAGACCACCAACATGCCATGGCATAGTGTGGCTCCAATTGATCTCCATAAGACGACTTTTGAGGCGCCTCAAAAGCTATGCCATGGCATCGTGTGGTTCCAACTAATCTCCATTCTGCGTGATGGTGAGAGGCACACCTTGGCGCCTAAAGACCACCATGTGTTAGACACACACACGACATGGTGAAAACCCGCCCTGTGTGCCGTGTGTTAGACACACGACATGGTGAAAACCCGCCCTATGTGCCATGTGCTAGACACACGACATGGTGAAAACCCGCCCTGTGTGCCATGTGCTAGACACACGACATGGTGAAAACCCGCCCTATGTGCCATGTGCTAGACACACGACATGGTGAAAACCCGCCCTGTGTGCCATGTGCTAGACACACGACATGGTGAAAACCCGCCCTGTGTGCCATGTGCTAGACACACGACATGGTGAAAACCCGCCCTGTGTGCCATGTGTGCCCCATACTTCAATCACCAACGATACCATGCCACACATGCGTACCGATGATCCCATCATGTGGCTCCAGCACATCTCCGTTGCCCGTTATGGTGAGAGATATACCTTGGCGTCTGCCTGCCACCCATCCACCCACCACACACATACCTTGACACACGCTGCCATACCATAACACACAGACACGCCTAACACCAATGATGCCATCATGCGGCTCCAGCACGTCTCTATTCTATTGCCCGTGATGGTCAGGGATACCTTGGCGTCTAAAGCGTATGTGCACACATGATTCACTCACCGATGATCCCATCATGTGTCTCCAGCACGTCTCCATTGCCCGTTATGGTGAGAGACACCTTGGTATCTACAGCCACACATGCGATTTGAACATGCCATGCCACACGCCCACACCCACACCCACACACACTGACTCACCGAACATGTCATGCGATTTGATCTTATCATGTTCTGAGACGTCTCAAGACTCACCAATGATCCCATCATGTGGCTCCAAGACGTCTCCATTGCCCGTTATGGTCAGACACACCTTGGCGTCTGTAGCCACACAGAAGGATCGAACATGCCATGCCACACGGCCACACACACACACACCCACTCACCGATGATCCCATCATGTGGCTCCAGCACATCTCCATTGCCCGTTATGGTGAGAGATACCTTGGCGTCTGCCTGCCACCAACCCACCCACCTTGACACACGCTGGCATACCATAACACACAGACACCGACTCACCAATGATCCCATCGTGTGGCTCCAGCACATCTCCAGTGCCGGTTATGGTGAGAGACACCTTGGCGTCTGCCACTACTAGCATGGCCTGCAGAGGGAGAGTGGGGGAGAGGGAGAGAGGGCGAGGACGAGAAGGGGAGATGAGGAGGGGTAGATGGGTGCCGGTGCAGTGATGTCCGGTGATGGTCAGAGACACCTTCGCGTCTGCCACTACTAGCATGGCCTGCAGAGGGAGAGTAGGCAAGAGGGAGAGCGATGGGGAGGGGGAGAGGATTAGGCTGTCAACTTTTGTGTACTATGTTTTGTATCTCGTGGGTTATTTGTAGGTTGGGTGTAGATTTGTAATCCCAATCTTATCTGGTTGGGATTTCCCCTTAATCCAACCAATCTGCCCACTCACCATTGGAGATTTGGTTGGATTCCCATCCCATCCATTCCTTAGCCTTCCTCATCCCAACCTTCTTTGTACTTAAGGCCTAGTGCCCTCTTTCTTAATCCATCAATTCAAGCTCCATTTCTGACACCAGCTTCCTTTGCCAGTTGCAGAATAAACTCAATTAGCATCTCCACACCGCCACCCAACCCACACCATCCCTCTCTCCCTCCCCTCCCACCCCCCCCTCCCCTCTCTGCCCTCCCTCCAACCTTCAACGCAAATCCAGCTTCCTCAGGTACTTGTCAGTTCGCCATGCCTTTGCCAGTAGCAGTATCAGTTCAACATACAACCCCACACACGCACCCACTCCACTGCATCCCTCTTCCCTTCTCCCTCTCCCTCCCCCCACCCCTTCATCTCACATCCAGCTTCCGCAGGTACTTGTCGGTTCGCCATGCTTTTGCCAATTCTACTGCTGCTCGCGTGAGCTGGTGGGGGGAGCAGGACAGGATACAAGGATGAGAAGAAGGAGGAAGGGGAAAAGGGGAAGGGGGAAAGGAGGGGGAAAGGGGAGCGGGAGGGGGAAGTTGAGCAGGACAAGGCAAAACAAATGGTGGGAAACGAAAGGAGTTGACTTTTGAGTCGACTCAAAAGTCAAGGGAGCGGGAGGGGGAAGTCGAGCAGGACAAGGCAAAAGATGGTGGGAAACGAAAGGAGCAAAATGGCTTCAAGCGTGCTGAAATTGATGGGATGAAAGCAAAGGCTGTTTTGAGACGTCTGCAGCAGAAGGCTCGCTCACGTACTTGGCCTGAACATTGGGATGATGAAGGCGGTTACGAGCGAGCGTGATGGGTTGAAGCGCCACGAACGGAAGGTGAGTGGAACGGACCAATGCGGCGATAGCACGGCATCCATCAACCAATGGGATGGCACCACGGCCAGGCCACAAGCGGCATGGGGGCGGGGGGTGTAGGCACGACAAGGACAAGAGGGATGTAAGTAAAAAGGTGGAACTGAACGGCATTAACAGAAGAGAGAGCAAGCAAAACCAGCACATCTAGATGCTGAGTTGCCTGGACTGTCGAGCGAAACCAGGACTGCACCGCAAGTTCATGAGACTAGATGGGCTTGAAAGAATGACCATGGGTAGGAAGTTGCGTATTAGCAGGAAAAACCTCCTCTGCGGTAACACCAGAGGAGCGCATGCGAATGTGAGAAGGAAGTTGCATATAAGTAGCAGGCAAGCCGGCTGGGTGTAGCTGGGAGGGAACTGGCTGCAGCAAGCCAGGCAGATGTGCCTGCCGAGTGTGCTTTGAGTCGACTCAAAACACACCTGAAGACAGTTGCATGTAAGTAGCAAGCAAGGCATATGTACCTGGATATTCGTCAATCCGAGACTCGAAGCGGTCGAAGAGAGTAAATGCATCTGCTGTGGTGCCTGAGGGGCGATTTTGGGTGATTGAAAAGTGGAGTGTGGTGGAGAGGGGTGGAGGGGGGTGGAGAGAGGGGTGACAAGAATGAGCCTGTGGATGAAAGTAAGGGGCGACAAGGAGTGATGAACGGTGAAAAACTAATAGAAAGCGATAAACAAGGTGAGAGGTGATTGCTGGAAAAGGTTTCAAAACGTAACACCGAGAATCCCACTCAAATAAATCTGCTACCCACCTGCGAAGCCAGCAATGACAGATTTCTTCTCCCCCAGCCGTCGCACCTTGCGCACGTTGGGCTTTAAGATCTGTGCCCCCATGGTCACCTGCACATGCACGTAGACGCACATACACACACGAAAATAGCAGTGTTTATCATTGAAAACCGGAATGTGCTTTAAGATCTGTGCTCCCATGTTGACCTGCACATGCACCCATACACACAGATGTACGCATAATCTGCTTCTCAACTGCCCGTCTGCTGCTCACCTGCCCGTCTGCTGCTCACCTGCCCGTCTGCTTCTCACCTGCCCGTCTGCTTCTCACCTGCCCGTCTGCTGCTCACCTGCCCGTCTGCTGCTCACCTGCCCGTCTGCTTCTCACCTGCCCGTCTGCTTCTCACCTGCCCGTCTGCTTCTCACCTGCCCGTCTGCTGCTCACCTGCCCGTCTGCTGCAATCACCACTGAGTTCCCTTTCCGCACGCACAGCACCGTGGTGCCATGGATATCCACCGAGCTGTACCCCCTAGCACCGCTTGATCCGAATGCGCCAGTAAAAGCTGTAGGAGCCCCTTCAATCCTCCCTTCTCCTCCTCTTCCTCCTCTGGTTAGAAACTGCAGCAGCGGTTGCTGATGGTGATGCAATAACGAGGATGGCGAAGGGGGTGACGAGCCTGTGGCAGCGGCTTGGAAGGAGGTTCGGGGATAGGTTTGGTGTGATGCGTGAGGGGGGGTTTGGGCGGGGCATGGTGGAGGCGACAAGGGTGACGTGGATGGCGATGGTGGTGACGTGTCGTTGCGAAGGATGCTTGCGTCAGCGACCAGTGATGACGTGTGCAGAGCCAAGGAGGCAGTTGCTGGGATGGCTGTAGCACGAGAAAGAAGTGCGAGAGAGAGAGGTTGCGATAGGGAACACGAGAGACGGAGAGAGATCAATAAAAGGAGCTCGTGCCACGAAATGAGATCTCCTCTGAGTCCCAGGAGAGATTGAAATGAGAACACCTCTGAGATCAAAGCATCGAAAGTGAGAATTCTGAAAATCTGAGAACGAGGTGTGGATGAAACTGAATCCGAAACTTGAAGTCAAATTGAGCCAGTAACGAGATTTTTCTGGAAATAACGACGGCTGCGACGGAAGCAGAGGGTGGGCAGCAGGAGGCTGAGAAGATCAGCGGCAGAAAGCCTTTTCTGAGGCGTTCTCAAAAGGCGATCAGCAGGAGAGCAATTGGTGCGCGAGAGCGGGGTGAATCGCACGGCGCGCGGATAAATTCAAGGAAACATCGCGAGAATGTGACCTGCGTGGGATCGCGAGAAGACTCCGCTGAGCGCCTTGCGGGATAGAGTAATCGCCGCCATGGCTGTTCGCGCCGACTGTGACGAGCCAAGTCCAAGAATGCCGCCACGAAAGAAAGAATGGGATGAGAGGATAAAATTAAATCTGCGTTATCAACGGTTGCCTCGTTGTCGCTACAATGATGGTAATACCGAATGTAAAGAGCATGTAAATGTTTCCGACAAGGTAGGGTACAATAAAAAAACCCAATAATTCCTCTAGGTTATACCAATACCTGGAAGGGAAAAGTTTGCCACTTCACTGTGTTACGATCAGAAGTTGATCGTGCCTAGGATCACCTCAGGAAGGTTCGCACACAGCTGAGTAGTGGTGGTGGGCCCGTGACCTCAATAGCAGAGTAAATGTAAAATGCTTGAGATGATAATAACATGCAAATACAACACTATAAATAAGATTACAAGGGAATACCAATCGACCTAGCTAGCCATGTACTCTAAGGGGTACATTCCCTTATTACATCGAAATCCAACCGTGCGACTCCAGACAGTTACAAAACTGTCCGGGCAGAATCCTTGCCACTGCTGCTGCCTGATGCTGTCTGCCCGACGGTCCAGATGCTTTCGTAACTGTGCGACCCTTCGCGTTACTTCCGCCCTTTCGCCTTCATTCTCGGTAGTGTGTACTTCGATTGCTGCGGTCAGGAGTGCACAGTAGTGTTTCGATATTCACTATTCGTAACACACTGAACCCATAGGTTCTAGGCATACACTATGCAACCATCCAACTACCTCTCTACAATGGCTATGGAACCCACACAGTGTCTATGCTGCCGCTCTGTCATTCAATTTGTCGGCACAAGCAACACATTGGAGCTCCTTGCATGTACTTCATTAATGGTGAAAATATTACACGTTCAGTACAGTTTATACGTCAGTACCATTTGGACCACTATCAGAGGCTGCAGTCAGATATGCATGCCTAAGCAATGCATTCACTCTACGCCTAAGCGATGCTTCGTCCTCTAGCAAATCACCCACAACATGCCGAAACGCGCCGTCCACCATATGAACCCGTCCCAATACACTGCCTCGATCTTCTCCTAATGATTCATCACAGCCGTCGATTCGCACCTGCCTTGCTGCTGGAGATTTACCATCGCTTACACTCTTTCTTTCATCCAAATGGCTTGTGCTTTTGTCGAAATCACTGGTATCAAGTGCAGCACCTGCGCTTCCAGGCTTCAGCAGACGTGCCTGCATGGCCAAATTGTGAGAAATGGTAAAGAAGAGTAGCATGTGGGGATCTGGGATTTCTGGAAGAGAGATAGGAGGAATGCACACCGTGCAGGCACGCCTATTGCAATGCCAGGAAGCATTTGGAAGAGCGGAGTTTCCAGGCCTTGATATTCCTTGCAACACGCACCTCTGCTGCCAGCAGTTCAAGTTGCCTGTCCGATGTGACAAGCAGCTCCATCTCCTCTTGCACTCCTGCTCCTCCTCCTGCTCCTCCTCCTGGCCCAGCTGCTCCACCAGTCTCTGCTGCTGATGGCTCCGCCTCCTCCCCGCCTCCTCCTCCTCTCCCCCCTCCTTCTCTATTCATCCCATCGCCGCTTCCTCTCTTGCTCTCTCCCGTACCTTCACCCCCAGAAAGCCGTTCCACAGCAGCATCTTTCATGCGCTGCCGCAGCACCCGCACCTCGTGAAGGAATCGCTCTGCCTTGCCCTGCCACGCTGATACGGCAGCACCGTGTGCTTCCTCCTGGGCCTGGATAGAGGCATGAGGGATATGAGGAAGGATGCATGAATCTCAACTGCAGAAGCGCCTGACATGCACTGCTGCAGCAATCCCACCCTGCTCTGCAGTTTAAGTATCAGCCAAGTAACAAACACAACCACCCCCAACATACCTCCATCCCAATTTAGCGCCTAAAAAAAACCGGTGAGAAAACATATGTACCGCCTCAGAAGCTGTTAGCCAACCAACCAATCACGTACCTCCAGCTCAGCAGCTCGCTCCTCTGCTGCCTTCCTCTTCCTCTCAGCCTCGGCAACGGCCTGCCGAAGCACCTTCACCTCCCGAGCCAGCAACTTTGCTTCGGCCCGAGCCTGAGCCTCTGCCGCCCGCACAGCTGCCAGCTCAGCAGCCTTGTCTTGTTGCGCCTTCTGGTGCTCCTCCGTTGCTGACTGTAGCTGCTGCTGTAGCTCTGCCTTCTCTTTCTGGATGGGTGGAGTGCGGTACACAGGGGCGAAAATGAGCCATTTGAGTTTGAGGCAAAAAGGCTTTCTGGTGCTCCTCAGTTGCTGACTGTAGCTGCTGCTGCAGCTCTGCCTTCTCTTTCTGGATAGGTGGAGGGAAGTACACAGGGGCGAGCGAAATTGAGCCACAGCCACTTGGGTTGACTTCTCGGCCACTTGGGCTACAGGAGCGATAGAAATGTTTTTTTGTGCTCCTATGTAGCTGACGCAGTTGCTCCTGTAGCTCTGTTTCTCTCTCTGGATGGGTGGAGTGGAGTGAAACACCTTTTGTGGACACAGTCGGAAGTTGTGCTCCTTAACAAGTTTGAATTTTCTCTGCCACTCTGCTGCTCTGCCACGCTGCCAAGCAATTTCAGTCGCACAACTCACTCCCCTCCAATGGTCCCACGCTCTCTCTCCCTCGCTTCACCCAGCACAGCCCTGTCCTCCTCTGCCTGCCACTGCGCCGCCAGCTGCCCCAAGGTGCCCCCACTCGCATCATGCATCTCAATCAACCTACACTCACCTCCAGTCGTCCCACGCTCTCCCGCGCTTCACCCAGCGCAGCCCTGTCCGCCTCCGCCTGCCACCACCGCACCAGCTGCCTCTCCCGCTCCTAATCCGGCTCCCACGAGCCCATTCCTGCACTCGCTTCCCTGTCTACAAGCACACCTCACCTCCAGACTTCCCACGCTCTCCCTCGCTTCACCCAGTGGAGCCCCCTGCCCTCCTCCGCCTGCCTTTGTGCTGTTAGCTGCCAGACTAGAGGCAAGCAACTCACTCACCTCCAGTCTTCCAACGCTCTCCCTCGCTTCACCCAGTGCAGCCCGGTCCTCCTCTGCCTGCCTTGGCACCGCCATCTGCCAGGTTAGAGGCAAGCAACTCACTCACTTCCAGCTGTCCCACGCTCTCCCTTGCTTCACCCAGTGCAGCTCTGTCCTCCTCCGCCTGCCACTGCGCCGCCAGCTGTCGCTCCTGCTCCCACTCGCACTGCCACAAGCCCATCCCGGCACTCCCTTCCCCGTCTACAAGCAACTCACTCACCTCCAGCTGTGCCACGCTCTCCCGCGCTTCACCCATTGGAGCCCCCTGCCCTCCTCCGCCTGCCTTTGTGCTGTTAGCTGCCAGACTAGAGGCAAGCAACTCACTCACCTCCAGTCTCCCAACGCTCTCCCTCGCTTCACCCAGTGCAGCCCGGTCCTCCTCTGCCTGCCTTGGCACCGCCATCTGCCAGGTTAGAGGCAAGCAACTCACTCACTTCCAGATGTCCCACGCTCTCCCTCGCTTCACCAAGTGCAGCTCTGTCCTCCTCCGCCTGCCACTGCGCCGCCAGCTGTCGCTCCTGCTCCCACTCGCACTGCCACAAGCCCATCCCGGCACTCCCTTCCCCGTCTACAAGCAACTCACTCACCTCCAGCTGTGCCACGCTCTCCCGCGCTTCACCCAGTGGAGCCCCCTGCCCTCCTCCGCCTGCCTTTGTGCTGTTAGCTGCAAGACTAGAGGCAAGCAACTCACTCACCTCCAGTCTCCCAACAGTCTCCTTCGCTTCACCCAGAGCAGCCCAGTCCTCCTCTGCCTGACACTGCGCCGCCAGCTGTTGCTCCCGCTGTGACATGCACCCCACAAGCCCATCACTGCTCTCCTTTCCCCGAGTTTACTCACCTCCAGCTGTGCCACGCTCTCCCTTGCTTCACCCAGAGCAGCCCTGTCCTCCTCCGCCTGCCACTGCGCCGCCAGCTGTCCCTCCCGTTCCTCCCGCACCTCCCTCGCCACTTCAGCTCGCAGCTTCCTGCGTTCAGCATCCAGTTCAGCCTCCAGTCCTCGCACCTGCATGGGAGAGGACGAGAGCGGGGGAATGCTTTAATGACCATCGCTCTCGTTCCTCCCTCCCGCACCTCCCTCGCCACCTCTGCTCGCCGCTTCCTCCTTTCCGCATCCAGTACAGCCTCCAGCCCTCGCGCTTGCACAGCAGGGGAGGAAAAGGAAAGGTATGCTTTATCGACAGGACAGCCACTCTCGCTCCTCCTACACCTCCCGAGTTGACTTTTGAGTCGACTCAAAAGTCAACTCGCTTGCACAGCAGGGGAGGAAAAGGAAAGGTATGCTTTATCGACAGGACAGCCACTCTCGCTCCTCCTGCACCTCCCGAGTTGACTTTTGAGTCGACTCAAAAGTCAACTCGCTTGCACAGCAGGGGAGGAAAAGGAAAGGTATGCTTTATCGACAGGACAGCCACTCTCGCTCCTCCTGCACCTCCCGAGTTGACTTTTGAGTCGACTCAAAAGTCAACTCGCTTGCACAGCAGGGGAGGAAAAGGAAAGGTATGCTTTATCGACAGGACAGCCACTCTCGCTCCTCCTGCACCTCCCGAGTTGACTTTTGAGTCGACTCAAAAGTCAACTCGCTTGCACAGCAGGGGAGGAAAAGGAAAGGTATGCTTTATCGACAGGACAGCCACTCTCGCTCCTCCTGCACCTCCCGAGTTGACTTTTGAGTCGACTCAAAAGTCAACTCGCTTGCACAGCAGGGGAGGAAAAGGAAAGGTATGCTTTATCGACAGGACAGCCACTCTCGCTCCTCCTGCACCTCCCGAGTTGACTTTTGAGTCGACTCAAAAGTCAACTCGCTTGCACAGCAGGGGAGGAAAAGGAAAGGTATGCTTTATCGACAGGACAGCCACTCTCGCTCCTCCTGCACCTCCCGAGTTGACTTTTGAGTCGACTCAAAAGTCAACTCGCTTGCACAGCAGGGGAGGAAAAGGAAAGGTATGCTTTATCGACAGGACAGCCACTCTCGCTCCTCCTGCACCTCCCGAGTTGACTTTTGAGTCGACTCAAAAGTCAACTCGCTTGCACAGCAGGGGAGGAAAAGGAAAGGTATGCTTTATCGACAGGACAGCCACTCTCGCTCCTCCTGCACCTCCCGAGTTGACTTTTGAGTCGACTCAAAAGTCAACTCGCTTGCACAGCAGGGGAGGAAAAGGAAAGGTATGCTTTATCGACAGGACAGCCACTCTCGCTCCTCCTGCACCTCCCGAGTTGACTTTTGAGTCGACTCAAAAGTCAACTCGCTTGCACAGCAGGGGAGGAAAAGGAAAGGTATGCTTTATCGACAGGACAGCCACTCTCGCTCCTCCTGCACCTCCCGAGTTGACTTTTGAGTCGACTCAAAAGTCAACTCGCTTGCACAGCAGGGGAGGAAAAGGAAAGGTATGCTTTATCGACAGGACAGCCACTCTCGCTCCTCCTGCACCTCCCTTGCCATCCCCGCTCGCAGCTTCCCCCGCTCCGTGTCGAGTTCAGCCTCCAGACCCTGCACCTGAAGCAAACACGGGCGAGGAGAGGAACCAGTAGTTACAGAAAACATAAGCCTTTCCTCCCTCTCCTCCCTCTCCTCCCTCTCCTCCCGCTGCTCTCGCTCCTCTCGCATCTACGTCGCCAATTCCGTTCGCAGCTTCCTCCGCTCTGCATCCAGTTCGGCCTCCGCTTTGCAAAGGCTAATGCTCGCTAGAAACTCCTTCACAGCAGTCTCCTGAGCCACTCACTCCATCATTTCGCCCATATCAGTCTCCCCCGCTGGTCATGCTGCACACACACTACAGCTTTCTGGGCTCACCTTGCTCTCTCGTTCCGTATCACCTTCCTCTACCGGATCACCTTTCTCTCACCTTGCTGGCGAGAAACTCCTTCACAGCAGTCTCCTGCGCCACTCGTTCCATTAGCTCGCTCATATCGGTCTGGGCAGCTACCAGGCGCCTTCGAAGCCCAATCAGCATATTTTTCACCGCTGCCCGCTTCTCCTCGGGCAGGCTCAGCGCCACCTGCCCGGAAACGCCTTGGACCAGCTCCGCCATGAGCTCTGCGTCGCCAGGATGTATGGTGGTGTGCGGTACGGTGGTGTCACCAGGATGGTTGGTGGTGTGTTGTGCGGTGGTGTGCGGTGCAGCGGTGTCACTGGGATGCATGGTGGTGTGTGCAGTGTTGGTAGCATCAATGACGGTACGTGGCAGCACAATTGCATGCCCATCCATGCTACCATCCACACTGCCATTTACAGGCATCCTCCCCTCACCCAATTCCCTTCCTCCACTGGTCCGATCACCCAAACCCTCTCCATCAACAACACCCCCTCCTTCATGCACCCTCCCTCCCCCCAACACCTCTCCCACCTCTTGCCTGTTCACGTTCACTTCTGCACTGTTCACGTCTAGCTGCGTGTTCCCACCACCATCCCCCACTCTGTCAACCTCTCGGCTCAACGGTGATGCCTCAAACGTTGCAAGTGGATGCAAGGAGGTCGGGTGAAGGGAAGGCGACTTCTGAGGCTTTTCAACAGCAGGCGGCTCAAGAGGTGCCTCAAACGAGGCAAGAGGGTGCGAGGAGGCGGGGTGAGGGGAGGGGGTGACAGCAGAGGAGGCAACAGAAGAGGCGTCTGAAAAGTCCTGCGTGAAAGCCACCATGCGGGAGCCATCATGATACTCAAACCCGCTCCCTGCGTCACTCCTTCCTCCTCCAAAGTCACGGCCCATATTATCACTCCCAGCTGCCGCCGCCGCCGCTGTTGCTGCTGCATTCGTTTGAGTCACACTGCTAGCTGCCGATCCGCTACCGAAACCCCACAGGCTCAAGCCTCCCACTCCCACTCTTCCTCCGTCTGCCCCTCCTCCTCCTGCTACTGCTGTTGCTCCCGCCCCACTCCCGCTTATTACTCCCTCGCCTCCTCCTTTTCCTCCGCTTAATCCTCCTGCTGCTGCTGCACCTTTCCCTGCAGTATTCGCCATAGATGCACCCACTGCCCTCTTCCGCCTACCTGATGCTTCTAGAACGTTCTCGTCCTCCTCTGCTCCCCCCTCCCCTCTCTCCCCCTCCTCCTCCGCCTCATCCTCCGCCAAAGCAGCTGCAGGGGTGACAGGCAGAGGGGAAACAGGGGGAGAGGGGTGGGGAGCGATTGAAATGAAAAGTGCAACAGGTGCATGGGGGGAGGGGGGGTGTGGGCGGGCGGGGGGTGCCCAAGGTGGGGAGGAAAGGGTGGTTATTGAGTACTTGGAACATTGCCTCGTCTTCTGCCAGCCACCGCAACTGCTGGGGTGAGAGGCAGAGGGAGATTAGGGGGAGAGGGGTGGGGAGCGGTTGAAAGGGTGGAAAAGGTGCATGGGGGGTTGGGAAGGAAAGGGTGGTTATTGAGTACTTGGAACATTGCCTCGTCTGCTGCCTGCCAGCCACCGCAACTGCAGGGGTGAGAGGCAGAGGGAGAATGAAGGTAGTCTGGAAAAGGAGAGCAGACGGGGGAGTGGGGCGAGCACAGGAGGAGACCTCCACATCCTCCAGCAGCAGCTGCAGCCACGCATCTAGAGCACGTCGCCACTGCTCCAAGCGGTGGGGTATGAGACGTCTCAGTCGCTGCAGCTACAGCAGCAGCTGCAGCCACGCATCTAGAGCACGTCGCCACTGCTGAGTCCATCCAACGCCTTACCTGCTCGGGCAACCCTTTCGAGTTCAAGAAATGCCGCCATGGGGCGAGAGCGGGACACCTCCACGTCATCCAACAGCTGCTGCAACCACGCGTCTAGAGAACGGCGCCGCTGCTCCAGGCTCGAGCTTTGAGTCCTCACGGTTGTGTTTTGAGTTGATTCGATTCCTTACCGGCTCGGGAAACTCTCTCGAGTTCGAGAAACGCTGCCAAGGGGCGAGAGCGGGACACCTCCACATCGTCCAGCAGCTGCTGCTGCAGCCACACGCCAGGGGTGTGGCTGCTGACTTGATCCAAAGTCAGATCAGACACCACCTTACCTGCTCGGGCGACCCTTTCGAGCTCGAGGAAGGCTGCCATGGGGCGAGAGCGGGACACCTCCACATCGTCCAGCAGCTGCTGCAGCCACACATCGAGAGCACAGCGCCGCTGCTCCAGGCGGTGGCTGTCGGAGGAGACTCTTTGCAGTGGCAGCTTGGGAGGAGGGGCGGGCAGGCGACGGCGGTCAAAGGAGCGGAGCAGCTGCATGGGGAAAGGCGGAGAGAAACCAGGGAGACAGGAAGGGCGTGAATGCACTGCAGCTGCTGCAGCCACGCATCTAGAGCGCGGCGCCGCTGCTCCAGGCGATAGCTGTCGGTGGAGACCCTTTGCAGTGGCAGCTTGGGAGGCGGAGGGGGCAGGCGACGGCGATCAAAGAAGCGGAGCAGCTGTTGTTGCGAGAAAGGGGAGAAAGGAGGAAGAGAGGAGCGGGGAGAAAGAAGGGAGACAGGAAAGGAGATGGGTGTGGTGTGGTGTGAGACGTCACAGTGTTTTGAGATTTGAGACGTCTCAAAACTAGATGGGTGGGGTGTGAGACGTCTCAGTGACTGCAGCCGCTGCTGCTGCAGCCACACGGCCAGGGCGCGGCACCGCTGCTCCAGGCGGTGGCTGTCGGTGGAAGATCTTTGCAGTGGCAGGTTGGGAGGAGGGGCGGGCAGGCGACGGCGATCAAAGGAGCGGAGAAGCTGGGACAGGAAGGGTGGGCGGAGGGGAAACGGGTGAGTAAGATTAAATATATCCTGCTCTCATGTCAAATACGTTCACCTTCCACGTCACATGAACATACCCATGCTCGAAATTCGGTTCTTCTACAAGGAGGATAAACTGTAACTACATGGAGTGGAACACATAGCTAAAGCATTAAATGCCCACTCAAACACAGCTACGATCCAAGCCATACAATGTGTATACGTATACTCTGTATGGGTACAGCTTACCATGCTGTAGAGATTGATGAAGTCCGAGAATCTCCTGGGAACACGAGTGACAGAGGTGATGCCTCGAGGCGACCGCACCCCCACACACACGTGGAAGAACTGCGAAGAGGGAGGGAAGGCGATGAGAGGAAGAAAGAAAGAAAGGCCTTTGAGTCGACTCAAACGAATCCCCTGGGAGCACGAGTGACAGATCATAGAGGTGATAATGATAACACGTTACACGAATCCCTCCCTAGGACCTTTCCCACACTCACCACGACAGGAGCCGGATCAGACGCCTTGGGAAAGAGCGCGGAGACAAGAGACGCGCCCAATTTGCCACTGCCGGCCCTTCTGCTCCTCCCTGTCCCTCCTGACAAAGTTCATGACGAGTCCCTAGGAACTTTCTCACACTCACCACGACAGGAGCCGGATCAGACGCCTTGGGGAAGAGTGCGGAGACAAAAGATGCGCCGAGATCGCCACTGCTGCCCCCTCTGCTGCCCCCTGCCCCTCCTATCGCCCCTCCTCCAGGACTCCTAAGCCTGGCTCCTCCGGCTGCTGTTGCAGCAGCAGCAGCAGCAGCAGCACCAGCAGCAGCAACACCGCCCCCAGCACGGGAAGCCGCACCAGCAGCAGCAGAACTACTAGCAGTGGCGGGAGGGTAGGCGGGCGTCCAAGTGGGAATGAGGGTGCAGAAGGCCCAGCAGCCGTCAGGCACGTGCGGCCATGCTGTGGTGCGCCGACCCGCCTAGTTGGAGGGAGAAAGGAAGGAAACGGAGAGAAGCCATCAGCACCACCAGAACCACCAACAGCATCACCAGCAGCAGCAACACCAGAAGAATTGGCAGTGGATGCCGCAGCAGCAGCAGCAGCAGGGGGAGGGTAGGCGGGCGTCCAGGTGGGAATGAGGGTGCAGAAGGCCCAGCAGCCGTCAGGCACGTGCGGCCATGCTGTGGTGCGCCGACCCGCCTGGTTGGAGGGGGGAGAGACGAACGGGGAGAGAGGAGAGAAAAGAGGTGGGAAGGAGGCAAGGGGGCGTGACAATCTGGTGCAGAAGGGCCAGCAGCCGTCAGGCACGTGCGGCCATGCTGTGGTGCACCGACTCGGCGACCTGCCTGGTTTGAGGGGCAAGGGGCAGAAACAGGTGTGAGCCTCGACGTAAGGGGAAAGGAAGAGACTGGAGGGGACGGAAGAAGGAACCGAGAGGAATTCTGAGACGTCCAGTGTGCAATGAAGTCCAGGGAGGTAGAAATTGATACTTTAAGGTTTCAATCAAACTCTCAAAAATCTCTCACACAGAGAGGCCTGGGAGAGGGAAAGAGAGAGGAGAGGTGAGTGAGTGCAGGTAGGGTTTGAAGTGGCTAGGAAATTGGTGGAGTGGAGGTGTGAGTCGGAAAAGGAGGGATCAGGAAACTCCAAAATCAAGAGGGAAATGCCGAAAGCAGGAAGAAATTGCCGGAATTAGGAGGACACTAAAAGAATGAATTGCAAAAAGAGAAAGACCACATGTGCAGGCTCTGGGGAGGAATCCTGGTGAAGGCAACGTGCTGGGGGAACTGATGAGCATAAACTGAAACGGAACCAGTGTTCTATAAAGGAAGTGACGAACATGATGAAGTAAAATGGAATCACAAGGAGAGTCGCGGTAGGAGATACGGACCCAGCGAGCGGGTGGCGGGGAGGAGTCCATGCCAAGTGGTAAGGGAGACGTGCCATCGTGGCGAAGGTTGCGTGCTATGGGAACTAGTAGTATAAATAAACAATGATGGAACCATTAGAAGAGCCGTAGTAAAAGAAACGGACCCAATGGGCTGGCGGCGGGGAGGAGTCCATGCCCAGCGGTAAGGGTGACGTGCCATCGTGGCGAAAGACACGTGGATTCGACATCGTTTCTCCTCCACGTTGATGATGATGTTGACTGTTCTGACGTGGATCGATCTGCTCCTTCCATCCTGTGCCTTCTTCGCCTGAATGCCGTCCTAACATGGTTTCGAAATAGTACACGGGTTTCTGTTTTTTATTCCGGATTCTACACAGTTCCTGGGTTCGTCGTTTACACTAGTTCGCGACGCGTTAGACGATACGGCGGTCGCCTCCGTTCAGCTGGTCGCGTAATCGACTTGGAAAACGGCCTCCAAAAGTGACCGCTGCATCAGAGCGAACAACAATGTTTCGACCATGGTGGTGCCTGATGCCAAAGTAGCGTGGAGGTGGTTCCTGGAGCCTTGGGATTCCCAAATTGGTGGTTTTACCTTGGTTTTCCCACCCTGCATTTTTTTTTTTAATCAGCAGATTGATTACACTACAATCAAGCTGTAAAAAGTGTACTTACTTTACGAGTTGAGAAGGCTGCTTATATGGAGATAAGTCGACTTCCAGGAGGGCTGGGCTGACCAACCAACGACCAACCAGCTGCAATTTCAAGCCAACTCCAAGGCCTGTCTGTGATCAAAAGTGGCTCGTTTTCCCAACCAACCCAATCCCTGGTTTGGTTTCCCATCCCATAGCTTTTGCCACTCGCAGCAAATTTGAATCCACTCCACAGCATTTTGTTGTGCATTGCACCGTTGTTTTGAAGCTCGTCTTCGAATTTTCCTCAGATCTCGGCCCATTACGATTTGCTCTGTTGTCTAGCAATGGCCGACAGACTTCCTGGAGTGATCGCTCTGTTCGATGTGGATGGCACCCTCACGCCGCCTCGGAAGGTGCCTTCTTTTGTCAACCTAGCTGTCTGGTCAAGCATCGTGCTCTTTATACCAACTCGCAACATCCCGACTGGCATTCCGACGCGTAACATCCTCTTCGCGCGGTTGTAACATAATTTCGCGATGTTGTGCTGCAGCTAGTGGAGCCAGAAATGGTGGAGTTTATGCAGAAGCTCCGCAAGGTAACAGATTATCCCAGTTCCTCCACGCCTTCTTGCCTCTCAGGCCAGAAAACTTGATTGACATCCTCCCAATCCATCCCGATCAAAGGTCCTGATTGCGTTTCCTTTTCTTTTGCGGTTGATGTTATCAGACAGTGACCGTTGGAATCGTTGGAGGATCGGACCTGTCAAAGATCACCGAGCAACTGGGGCCTGACAGTAAGTGGTTCTGCTTTAGCCTTATCGTTGGTCCACCTCGCCACTCGAATTCGTGAAGACTGTCAAATAATCACACGGAATAATCCCTCTAACGCAAGAATGCCCCTTGCAGCTCTGACGGCATACGACTATGTGTTTTCCGAGAATGGCCTCGTGGCACACAAAGGCGGCGAGCAGATCGGTAGCCAGGTAGGCGATTTTCAATCAAGTCGTGGCACAAGAACTTCTCCCTGTTTAAATCTAACATTCCTGACCTGTTTTGACTAAATCCGTCTATCTGTGTGGATTCCAGAGCCTGAAAACCTTCCTGGGCGATGATAAGCTCAAGGTAACGGGTCTCTCGAGTCCATCTGCACAATATCGAGTCTATGCTGGCATTGCCTGAACGAAGCGCGTGGTTGTAATGCAGGAATTCATCAATTTCACTCTCCACTACATCGCCGACCTTGACATTCCTATCAAGAGGTGAGAAAAGGCTGCTGTGTTGTTTGCGGATACAGTGTCTCCAATTTTCCTGGCATTGAAGCAGGAGGCTCCTGTTCTGCATCAAATTGTTCTCCTTTCCCCCCTCCCTTCGCCAGAGGAACATTCATAGAGTTCAGGATGGGCATGCTGAATGTGTCTCCTATTGGACGCAACTGTAGCCAAGAGGAAAGGGACGAGTTTGAGCGTTATGATAAGGTACATTCTGGCTGGTTTGTCTAATATTATGTCATGTTACACCTCTTCCTGGAAAAGACCCTTCATTCATCCTGGCTCCATCTTCCACTCATGTACTCCCTCCCTGTACCGTGCCTCCCGCTCCCCTCACCAGGTTCAGAAGATTCGTGAAACTATGGTTGGAGTGCTTCGGGAAAAGTTTGCAGACTTGAATCTGACGTTTTCTATTGGTGGCCAAATCAGCTTCGATGTGAGTTTCTGTTGGTCTCTTTGTCGAATGTCCCGAAGAGCACAGTCAAAGGAGTATCACACTAACTTTGCATTCGCCAAGCAGGTCTTCCCGACTGGCTGGGACAAAACGTACTGCCTCCAGTTTGTTGACAAGGACTTTCCAACCATCCACTTTTTTGGAGATAAGACGTACAAGGTATGTATACGGTTCACAAAGATACGGCATAAGCAAAACAGGACATTTTTTGCTAAAATTGTTTGCATTCCTTGATGCAGGGGGGCAATGACCACGAGATATTCACATCAGAGAGGACCATCGGCCACACAGGTAAGCTCAGTTCGTTTGTTTTAGGTCTCCTTATGTCTGAATCTCGATCCTCATCTTGCTTTGTTTCACTTGCAGTAACTAGCCCTGCTGACACTCGAGTTCAGTGCACGGAGTTGTTCCTCAAATCTGCTTGAGAGTCTGGAGAAGTGTTATGCTGTGGATGCAAACCTGTGGGGTTATTTAGTGTATTTTCAACTGTATGCATCTCAAGAGTATCAAATCACCTCAATGTTTGTTTGGAATGACAGTAAGTGTTCATAAGAAAGCTGTCCAGAACAACCCTTAGATCCCATACTTAAAGCTAGGCTTCATGAAGCTTCCACTGGCAGGAACCTCACCAATCAAAATCAGGCAAATGTATTACGGTACTTCAATCTACGGGCATGACCCGCCTTCATATCATTGCCTTCTTGAGGCTCACTTGGCGGGTCCTCGTCATCGTGCCTCCAAAACCCGAAGGGAAGGCACTCAGATAAGATCAAGTGAGTAGAATGAGAAAGACTTGCTGAATTTATAGGCCGATGTGGAATGAAGAGAACTCGGTTTGTTGCGTCAGGGCGCGTTCTTGGCCGATCATCAAGTTTTTCTGACACAAGGCTATCGACAGCTCCAATCGTTCCACATCATCATCAATCCAATCCGAACCCTTCAGAGCTTCGTGTCAGCCCACAAGTCACTGGCAGAGAACGCGCCCTCAGGAAGAGCCAGTCGCATCAAGTGAGGGTATCGTACCCTCCGCACGATGGAACCTGGGCAAATTCCAATGAAATTGTGAATTGTGGGGGTTGAAAACCAGGTGACAGGAAGCTAGCTTTCGGAATGTTTTAACAAACTACCAGCGTATATTTCTACCTCTAGTGAATCTTCTTCAAGAGATTAGTCCAAAGTACATCCTCGTAACTCGGTATGTATCTGTAATAGCACGCAGCATCTGCATCCTTGCCACACTCCTAGACGAATATTTAGAACCAGAAATCAGTTTTCCAGGGTACCTTTTCGTGCTGACAGGGCTCCCGGTCAGCCATTGAGTGCACTCCACCACAGCCTCACACGCTTCCTCGAGTGCCTCCGATCGGCCGTCGGTCACGTCATCCAATCCACAAATACTGATTTTCCACGTCAGTGTGGCTGTTCGCAAGGTCCTGCTTACCACGTCAGATGGAATTCCTGCGACTCCATCAAAATTGGAATCCTTGGCCCTGATCGGTACCACCCTTAAGCGGAGTAGGTGAGCTTCGAGGGAGTTCACTAACTCCCGATTCGCACGTGTGACGGAAGTTTACTCACTCCGACGTGGCTTACTCCGAGTAAGCCAAAATGAGCAAACGATCGCTGAACTACCTAATCGGAGTACGACTCGAAGTGGCCCTTCAGGAAGTTTCGTTCACGGGCAAACTTAGCTCCGCGGAGGAACTCCGCTTACTCCAGCATTTTGGGAGAGTAAGCCTCGCTTAGAGCGCGGTACACCCAAGCAAAGATCGCCGCATTTTGAGGATCACGTCGGCGATCCTTGCGGAACAGTGTCCCACCTACTACAGTACAGTGATCACTGTGTCAGGTGGTGTACCAACAGAGGTGGGATCGGGAACATGTGTAGTCAATGCTACACAATCTTTGTGATGTCCATAGGATCATCGTGACTGCCAATCTCTTGCTGATCTTTGCAACTCTGTACCAAAGTCAGGGTGATCCTTGTTGACGAAAAACTTTCCTTTCGCAATCAGGTCGTACATCTGAAACGAGGTCGCATCAAATCAAAACATTTCGAAAATGAAAATCTCACCAATGAGGTTGTTTCGTCTCAGTATATTACACGGCCAACATATGCACGCGAAGTATCAACGTTCGTGACTCGTTGCGATGTCGCCTGGTCGCAGAGGATCACCAATGCAAAATTGGAATTGGTACATCAACGAGGATCGTAATGTGCCCACAAAATTTGTAGTTTTGCTACCACTGATCCTACGATTGGGGTGACGGTGATCTCAGCTAAGTGATCCTTAAAAATACGCCATGTGTACCGCGCTCTTACTCGGAGAGGGCCTCGAAGGGCGAACCCGATAACACCGCATATTTTGTTTTTGTTCTTGCGGGGACACCCTCCTCAAACACCTTTACAACTTCCCATCCACTCCCAGTGGTTCTTGATGGTGTCATTTTGTGGTCCAGTTACCCCTTTGTGGGAATTAATTTTCTTGGTGACGAGTGGGGCAGTCTGGGCCGAAAGCAACAGTGTTTCTAAGGAAATCGCGCTTACGACCCTCGAAACTTCCCTACGAGGAGTTTCGAGGGCGTCCCGATCACCCCTCGGAGTTGGGAAACTTACAGGAGGAAAGGGGAAGCACCCACCGACACGTGCCCACACGTGTGGGTCGGTGTACTCCTGTTCGAGTGCCAACGCAGCGGAAGTTTACTCGGCTTAGGGGCTACCGATCAGGGCCCTTGTTTTTGCGCGTCTTCTGGAAGATAGCTCTCCTCCACCACTTTCCCTCCTTTCCTTCCGTTCTGTCCGTGCTGTCTGATCACTGCCTTCACCAGCTCTAGATTCTAGAATCTAGTGTTTATCAGCTTTCCTTTTCCCTACTGCTCTTATCAGTCATTGTGCTCTGAGCCCTTCTGTGCGTTTGCCACGGTCTTAGGCTCCGTTTAATTATTTGTTAGCTGTCCCGACCGTTCCAAAGCATCATGGCAACAGCTACCGCAAATATCTCCCGTTCACCAGTGCACGTGGCGGCCGCTGCGGACGAGCGTGCTGCTCCAAGCGTTAGGAATGTTTCAGTCATTGGTTCGTTGAAGCGGTTCGACGGGTTGCGATGCCACGGCGCGGCCGTTAGGGTTCAGCCTGCACAGGTCAGGGTAGCGCAGAGGAGGCTACAAGGAACGGTTTCGGCCACAGCCACGTCAGCAGATGCGCCTGCAGCTGTCTCCTCTTCATTTATTGGAGTGACGACCGAAGAAGGTGAGATAGCTTGCTTGCATTCGCGTTTGCGTTCGCATTTGCATTTGCCAGTTTTCGTGTAGGCGGCGAACCATGCCGCTCGGAAGGTCATGTGTTACGCGGAGATAACGCGAAAATACTACGGGTTGAGAAGTGGGCTTGTTTGAAAACGTCCAACGCGGGGCCTTCCTTGTTCCAGAAATGCGTTCCGCCTTCTTGTTGCATCGAGTACATTGAAACACGCTGGTTGCGAATAGGATTGCACGAAGAGTTGTTAGTAATGTCGTCAGTCAGAGCCGTTGCAATGGGCCATGTAGCGAATCCAGGGTTCTTGAGACATCTCGAAACTCTGTATCGAACGCTTGGCTTTGGCTTCTGCCTCATCGACCGTTATATGGCACGCAGCTGCCATCCTTTCCGCCTCGATTACATTCTCGCTATCTCAATCACCACCCTCGCCACCTCAATCATCAGCGCCTCCACCGCATCGCACGGCGTACGATCCCATGATCGTTCTCTCCCCTCCTTACTGACGTCATCATCCTCTTCCGTGACTTGACGTGCGCAGAGATGATGGACGCGATAACCAAGGAGGCCGCCAAGTATCGCCTGCCCGAGCGCGTGGTGCTCGGCATGCGCGATTTCTACCACTCGTACGCGAATGCGGTAAGCCTTAATCCGAGACACAGTCAATCGCGTATGCAGAGTAAAACTGGCATCTCTCATATCGTTCGTGTTCCCGAGCGCGTGGTGCTGGGCATACGCAATTTCTGCCACTCGTACGCGAATGCGGTAAGCCGGTCGACGTTGCCATTCGTTCGCGACTGCGGTAAGCCCGTCATTACCAAATGTTACCACTCGAACGTGAATGCAGTAAGCGGTAATTTCTGACACACTTAGTATATTGCGTATGCAAAGTAAGATTGGCACCTCTCAGACTTTTCGTCTGCCTGATCGCGTGGTGCTGGCATGCGCGATCTCTATCATTCGTACGCGAATGCGGTAAACTCGTTATGGTACCACTCTAACGCGAATGCAGTCAGCTGTAATTCGATGCATACTAAGTCAAACGCGGATTAGCCTTGGCACCTCTCAGATCGTTCGTGTTCCCGAGCGCGTCGTGCTGGGCACGCCCGATTTCTATCATCGTACTCGAATGCAGAAAGCTTCTCGTTGTCCACTGTTACCAATGCCAGATGCTCGGAATCCCTCATGTCCCCAAGCTCATCCCTTCCCCCCCCTTCTCCCCTTGTCGCCGCCGCCTCTCTTTCCCTCCAACGGGTTGCGTCCAGCGGAATGCCAGATGCTCGGAAGCCCTCATGTCCCCCAGCCCACCCCTCCTACCCCACCCTCTGTGTCGCCCCCCGGCCTGTGTCGCCCCGGCCTCTCTTTCCTCCCTGCATTTCGCTTCCAGCGGAATGCCAGATGCTCGGAAACCCTCATGTCCCCCAGCCACAGCGTAAGCTCCCATACCAACCAACACCACTCGTGACACACCACACCCATGTTCCCCCCCTCCCCGTTCCCCCCTTCCGCTCTATGTTGCCGCGGCCTCCCTCTCCTCCCTGCAGGTTGCGTCCAGCGGAGTCGAGAACGCGGAGCAGCTGTCTCTGCAGGTCATGTCGACCGTCTTCGACAGAATCATGTACCAAATCAAGGTGAGCGGTGGGAGGCTGTCGTTGAGGGAGGCAAGATGGAGTGGAGTGGCGTGTTGGTGGCGTTTGAGTCGAATCAAAAGGCACCTCGAACACAGAGCAGCTATTTCTGCAAGCAAATCATGCTGACTAATCTCAACAGGAGTAGAGTAAGGTTCTGATCAAGGTGAGCGGTGGGAGGGGAGCGGGGGGGGTGGATGGAGTGGAGTGTTGCTAAGAAGGAGACGACACCAACGAGTCAGCCATGGAGACCGGGCGAGCAGTAGTCCGGTCGGTAAGACACTTTATATACATATATATAATGTATATATATATAATAATATATAATGTCGTCCTCCTTTTTTTCTCTCGATTGCAATAATCGATTTGCAGGATCGTCACGTGTTTGAATCGCACCATCTAGGTGTGCGGGAGCCGTATGACTACTATGCCTTCGGGCAGAACTACGTGCGACCCCTCATCAACTACTCGTAAGCAGCATGTGACTAGTGGAGTGACAACAGTGCGCTCATTGAGTGTGCTCTATCCGCCTCTACTGAAACCTGTGGAAATTCGCGTTTTCGTTTTCACCAAGAGAGTCTGCAATTTTCGACCGTCTGCATACCAAATGTCACTCCCTTCTTTTTCCCCTGTGGCATGGCAGGCGATCTTTTATCGGCAATGTGAAGATTTTTGACAAGATTCAAGCCGACCTTGACGCTGTGAGTGCTGATTTCTTTATGCTGCGCTGCATGTGCTGATTTTTCAATCGACCCAAATGACATTTCATTGGTAATGTGAAGTGAATGTATCTGACGAGATTCAAGCCAACCTCGACGCTGTGCTGTGAGCATGTGAGTGCCTCTGATTCTGCGTCTTCCTTTTTTAGGACCCTCAAATCAGAGCACTGCCTTCCTCGCCTGATGTCGTAGGGTTCAAGGCCAGAAGTACAAGGGTTGTGGTTTTGCGGGCTCTTTAGCTTGTCCGAAAATCCGGACAATCAGAGGGGTGTGTTGAAAGTGATGACTGAAGCAGGTACTGCCGATTTCGCCAGAGCAGCAAGAGAGGGAATGAGCAAGAGGGCGTGAAGGAAGGGAAATCGTGCGAGGGAAACGAGGGCGGCAGTGGGAATGTGGTCAACATGCCATGATATCAACCGGGCAGGCGGGAAGCAACCAGTTACCCTGTAACTTGAGGCTGCTCCTGTCTGCTGCTGCTGCTGCTTCGTCCCCTTCGCTGCCTCTTCCCTCCACGGCTCTCACTCCCCTCTTTTCTTGCTGCTGCTGGTTGCGTGATGAAACTGAAAAAGCAATCCTCTGATTCACAGACCCTCCTGAAAGCAAGCGTTGGCTGTCAGACGAACTAGGTTACTCTGAGTCGATTTCTGAGTCGCCTAAAGAAGGTTATGACGTTGTTGGTTCGTGTGGAAAGATCATCTGGCTGGTGTTCGTTCGTTGTCATTGCTGTCATTTCTATCGCAATCCAACCACCCACAAAGGTCCCACTCGAAAGCTAACCTTTATTTCACTCCTCCTCCCCCCTTCACGACCCCCCCCCCCCGCACACATCCCTCTTCCTTCCACTTACCCTCTTTTCCATTCATTTCCTCTTCCAGTCTCCCTCCCCTCGCACCAACACCAGGGCGGCAGGGCCACAACGTGGTGCTGATGACCAATCATCAGACAGAGGCGGACCCTGCTGTCATCTACTTCCTCTGTCTTTTCTCACTCTACCTACCCCTTCACCCCCACCAGGGCCACAACGTGGTACTGATGACAAACCATCAGACAGAGGCGGACCCTGCTGTAAGGCCTTCCCCCTTACGCCCTCACATCCCCTACCACCCACCCCACCCCACCCCACCCCACCATCACCAGACCAGGGTCACAACGTGGTGCTGATGACCAACCACCAGACAGAGGCTGACCCTGCTGTCATGACACTCATTGCACTCACTCCCTCCGTTTCTCTCTCACTTCCTCTTTCCCTCCCTTTTTCTACTCCTTCCGACATCTCCCCTTCCCTATCGCACACCACCAGGGCCACAACGTGGTGCTGATGACAAACCACCAGACAGAGGCTGACCCGGGTGTCATCGCTCTCACTCTTTATCGTCCACCTTGAAGCCTTTCCCCCCGCTCACATACCATTCCCCCATCCCACCATCACCAGGGTCACAACGTGATTCTGATGACAAACCGTCAGACAGAGGCGGACCCGGGTGTCATTGCTCTCACTCAGTATCGTCCACCTTAAAGCCTTTCCCCCCGCTCACATGTCATTCCCCCATCCCACCATCACCAGGGCCACAACGTCATTCTGATGACAAACCACCAGACAGAGGCGGACCCGGGTGTCATGGCTTTTATTGCACTCCCTCCCTCCCTCCGTATCTCTCACATCCTCGTTTCTCTCCTCCTATCCCACCCCACCCACCCCACCAGGGTCACAACGTCATTCTGATGACAAACCACCAGACAGAGGCGGACCCGGGTGTCATTGCTCTCATGCTGGAGAGCAGTCACCCTCGCCTCGCCACCAGCATTGTATGTCAAATTGATGTGTGCCATGTGGCATGCGAGTTCACGTACATCATGTGCATACCACCGCCCATGTGGCATGCGAGTTCACGTACATCATGTGCATACCACCGCCCATGTGGCATGCGAGTTCACGTACATCATGTGCATACCACCGCCCATGTGGCATGCGAGTTCACGTACATCATGTGCATACCACCGCCCATGTGGCATGCGAGTTCACGTACATCATGTGCATGTTGTGTTCTGCCACATGGTGCCTACCGCCCATGTGCCACATGTTGTATTCTGCTACCCCTCGTCTCCTTGCTCTCATTGCCCTCATGCTGGAGAGCAGTCACCCTCGCCTCGCCACCAGCATTTTTCGTCGTCCAATTCGTATGCCGTGTTCCATACTTGATGCGCCTTCCGCCCATGTGCCTGCTGCTGCTCATCTCATTGCTTGTCTGCAACCCGTTCCCGACCCCTCCTGACCCCGCCTCACCCCTCTTCACCCTGCCTCACCCCGCTTTCACTCTTCCTGAGCCCCCTTCACCCCCTCTCACCCCCCTGACCCCGTCTGACCCCCTTTCACCCCGCCTGACCCCCTTTCACCCCGCCTGACCATCCCTCACCCCTTCCAAACCCTCTATATTCAGACGTACGTGACGGGCGACCGAGATGTTTTCGACCCCTTCTGCAAGCCCTTCAGCCCTCACCCCTGTTCACTCACCCCCCCTGACCTTTCCCGACCCCTCATGACCCCTCCTGAACCCTCCTCACCCCTCCTCACCCCTCCTCACCTCTCCTCACCCCGCCTGACCCCCCCCTCTGTGCAGACATACGTGGCGGGCGACCGGGTGGTCTTTGACCCCTTCTGCGTGCCCTTCAGCCTCGGCAGGTGAGAGTTTCAGTGCGGTGCTTCATCCCCCACCTCACTCCGCCTCGCCCCGCCTCGCCCCGCGTCGCCCCGCCTGACCCCCCCTGTGTGCAGTCGTATGTTGCGGGCGTCCGAGTTGTGTTTGACCCCTTCTGCATGCCCTCAGTCTCGGCAGGTGAGTGCATGTTAGTTCGTGCATGGCAGTGCATGACAGTGCATGCGTTTGTGGCAGGTGCGTGCATGGGCAGGGTTTCGGCAGAAGCACCTTTCTCCTCACCCCTCAAAACACCCCCTTTCACCCCTTGAATGAAACTTACTTTTCACCCCTTCAAACCCCCTGTACCCCTCCTCCGTACCCCTCAGGAACCTCCTGTGCGTGCACTCCAAGAAGCATTTGAATGATGAGCCAGAGCTGGCAGAGCAGATGCTCACTTCACCGCATTGAACTCCCCGCCTCCCTTCTGGAACCTCCTGTGCGTGCACTCCAAGAAGCATCTGATCGACGAGCCAGAGCTGGCAGAGCAGAAGCACTTCCCTCCTCCGACCCCTCAAAACTCCCACTGTACCCTCTCAACCCCCCCTCGACTGCTCAGATTTCCCCTCCACCTCTCAGGAACATCCTGTGCGTGCACTCCAAGAAGCATTTGAATGATGTGCCAGAGCTGGCAGAGCAGGAGCACCTTCTTCCTCCGCATCTCGCGAAACTCCTCCGTTACCCGTCCATACTTACTCGTTACCGCTTTCAACCCCTCTCCACCCCGCAGGAACCTGCTGTGCGTGCACTCCAAGAAGCATCTCAACGACGTGCCAGAGCTGGCAGAGCAGAAGCACCTTCCTCCTCCTCGCATCTCTATAACTCTGTATTCACCGCATTCAACCCCTTCTCAATTCCCAGGAACCTCCTGTGCGTGCACTCCAAGAAGCACCTGAACGACGTTCCAGAGCTGGCAGAGCAGAAGCGAGCGGAGAACCGCAAGACGCTCAAAGTGATGTCAAAGCTGTTCAAGCAGGGAGGCAACTTCGTATGGATCGCTCCTAGCGGCGGCCGCGACCGCATCAACCCCGATACGAATTACGTGCCGCCGGTGAGTGTTCTGAAAGGGTAGGAGGAGGAGCCTTACAGTGGTGTCTCATGGTGTGGGTGTTGGGTTGGGATGGGATGTCTGAAAGGGGAGGCAGAGGCTAAAAGAGAGGGCCGTCTCACATTCATTCTCAAGGTCGTGTTGGTCGAAGCTGTTGAAGCACAAGAAGGAAACTTTGTGTGGATCGCCCCCAGTGGCGGCCGAGACCGCATCAACCCGGATACAAACTATGTGCCGCCGGTGAGTGCTGTGGCGGACGGGATTCAATCGTGTTACAGTCAGTGAGGTTAAAGAGCGTCAGGCAGAGGGACTGGTTTCGAGAGCAGAGACGCTCAAGGTGATGTCGAAGAAAGCTGTTCAAGAAAGGATCGCTCCTAGTGGCGGCCGCGACCGCATCAACCCCGAGACCAACTACGTGCCGCCGGTGAGTGTGCTAGCAGGAAGGATTCGTGTGTCAGGGGGCAGTAGGCAGTGGATTGACTGTAAGGCAGCAAGACGCTCAAAGTGATGTCGAAGCTGTTCAAGCAAGGAGGCAACTCCGTCTGGATCGCTCCCAGTGGCGGCCGTGACCGCATCAACCCGGATACGAATTATGTACCGCCGGTGAGTATGCTAGCAGGAAGGATTCGTTTGTGAGGGGGCAGTAGGCAGTGGATTGACCGTCCGTAAGGCAGCAAGACGCTCCAAGTGATGTCGAAGCTGTTGAAGCAGGGAGGCAACGTCGTGTAGATCTCTCCCAGTGGCGGCCGTGACCGCATCAACCCGGATACCAACTACGTGCCGCCGATGAAAAAAAAAACTTTATTTCTCCTTCTCTCCTCTCCCTGCCTCCCTGCCTCCCTGCCTCCCTGCTTCTCGGCCTCTTTTGATCTGCCAGTCCCCGTTTGACTCTTGCAGTGGCTCCCATGCGCCGGCTCACATCGGAATCGAAAGTGCGACTTTGAGGCGAAAGAAAATCAAAATATTTCATTTTTTTTCCTTCTCTCCTCTCCCTGCCTCCCTGCCTCCCTCTCTCCCACCATCCATCAGTCCCCGTTCGACTCCTCGGCTGTGGCTCTCATGCACCGGCTCACATCGGAATCGAGAATGCGCCTTTGAGGCTCCTAGAACACAAACCCCACTTCTCCTTCTGCTCCCTGCTCCCTGCTCCCTGCTCCCTGCTCCTTGCTCCCTGTGTTAAAATATATATTGTGTAGCATGCCAACACATGTGACTGTACACCAATTGTGGTGTACAGTTGGGTTGGGACTACACCCAACTTTGGGTGTAGTCTTGCACTTTGGGGTGCCAATCCACCCAATTGTGGTGGAGCCCCCAAATGCAACCCTCTTGACTTGTGGGTACCTCACTTCCCACAATTGAGGTTACCCCAAGCCAAGTGGGCCTAGGGTTGCCTCACTTCTACAAAGTGTGGGCAACCCAACCCACTTGACCTATGGTTCCCTCACTTCCCCAAGTGAGGTCAACCCAACCTATGGTCACTTTCATCCTTCCCTTCCAACCTTCCCTTCCAACTATGTATGCTAGGTTGTTCCTCTAATCTGATCACTTGTTCAATTTGCTACTTTCACATGGTATAGAGCTACTTGTTCCTAGGCCTTACCTCTCCCTCCCTTCAGTTTTTTTTTTCCCATGGGCCCACCCCACAGCTACAAACCCTTTCCTACGCGTGGCTCAACTAGCCATCACTAGCATACTCTCGCCGCGACCTACGCCGTCGCCGCCGTTCCCCCCCCCTCCCGCCGCGATTACGCCTTCCTCGCCTGCGGATTCCACCGCCGCGAGCGCAACGCCGCTGTCCCCTCCTCCCCCCCGCCGCGACCCCCTGTCGCCGCCTCCCCTTCTCGCCGCCGCGCCTGATTCGGCGCCGCCTGCGCATCCTGCCGCCGCGACGCCTCGTCGCCGCCTGCCCGCTGCCCGTCCCTCCGCCGCGACGTCACGTCGCCGCGTTCCCGCCGCCGCGCCTGCTACGGCGCCGCCTGCGCATCCTGCTGCCGTGACGCCTCGTCGCCGCCTGCCCGTCCCTCCGCCGCGACGTCTCGTCGCCGCGTTCCCGCCGCCGCGCCTGCTTCGGCGCCGCCTGCGCATCCTGCCGCCGCGACGCCTCGTCGCCGCCTGCCCGTCCCTCCGCCGCGACGTCTCGTCGCCGCGTTCCCGCCGCCGCGCCTGCTACGGCGCCGCCTGCGCATCCTGCCGCCGCGACACCTCGTCGCCGCCTGCCCGTCCCTCCGCCGCGACGTCTCGTCGCCGCGTTCCCGCCGCCGCGCCTGCTTCGGCGCCGCCTGCGCATCCCGCCGCCGCGACGCCTCGTCGCCGCCTGCCCGTCCCTCCGCCGCGACGTCACGTCGCCGCCTCCCCTTCCCGCCGCCGCGCCTGCTTCGGCGCCGTCTGCCCGTCCCGCCGCCGCGACAGCTCGTCGCCCCCTGCCCGTCCCGCCGCCGCGACCTAACATCGCCGCCTGCGCATTCCGCCGCCGCGACTGCTCGTCGTCACCTCCCCGCCCCCACCCCCCCCCCCCCCCCCCCCCCCCCCCGCGATTTCGCATTGCCGCCTCCCCTCCCACCGCCGCACCTGCTTCCGCGTCACCCACGCATCTCGCTGCCCCTTCTGCATCGCCACCCTCCCGCAATTTCCCCCGCCGCAACTGCAACATCGTCGCCCCGCGGTTCCCGTTAACGCCACTGCGCCGCCGCCGCCCTACCGCCGCGACTGCTTCGGCGCCGCCTGCCCATCCTCCACCGCGACCGCGCCATCCCCGCCCACACTTCCTGCCGCCGTGACTGCCCCGTCGCCGCCTGCAGATTCAGCCGCAACTGCACCCTCCCTTCCTCCTCTCCCTACTCCTCTCCCCCCCCCTCCCCCTCCCCCTGCGCCCCTCGTTGCCGCGGCCTGCCTGCCGCCGCCGTCCCTCGTTTCGCCGCCGCGGCCCTTCCGCCGTCGCCTGCGCCCCTCGTCGTCGCGGCCTGCTCGCCGCCGCCGCCCCCGACTTTGCCACCGCCTCCCCTTCCCGCCGCCGCACGTTCGCACAGCCGCCTGCGCCCTTGTCACCGTCGCTCCCTGCACCTTGAACGCCTCTGCCCTCCACCGCTGTCTCCCTCCTTTACCCCCCCCCCCCCCCCCCCTCCCTCCTCCTGCCAGCGGCAGCAGCAGCGGCAGCAGGGGAAGTGCAGCAGCCTCCGCAGCAGCAACTTCACCCTTGGCCGCCGCGGGTCCACCCGCCGTCGCCCATCATGACTGCTACCCCCCCTGCCCCTCTCCCCCCTCCTCACTGGAGCAGTGTTACTCCTCGCCCCTCCCTTCTCAACACTCCGACCCTCCACTCCTCCCCCCCCCCTTATCTCCGCCTGCTCACCCCCTCCCCCCCTCCCCATCTGCGGCGTTTCCAGCAGCTCCAGCATCAGCAGCAGCAGGACTTCCAGCAGCGGCAGCAACCACAATTTCTCCAGCCGCACCCCCCACATCTCCTCCAGCCGCGGCAATCGCAGCAGCAGCAGTTCTTCCAACACCAACAGCAGCCGCAATCTCTCCAGCCTCACCCGCCACAGTTTCTCCATCCCCAGCAGCAGCAGTCCTTCCAGCCGCAGCAGCGGCAGTCCTTCCAGCAGCAGCAGCTGCCACAGTTCCTTCCACCGCAGCAGCAGTAGTCCTTCCTGCAGCAGCAGCAGCCACAGTCTCTTCAGCCGCAGCAGCAGCAGTGCTTCCAGCAGCAGCAGCTGCCACAGTTCCTTCCGCCGCAGCAGCAGCAGTCCTTCTAGCAGCAGCGGCAGCCACAGTTTCTTCAGCCGCAGCAGCAGCAGTGCTTCCAGCAGCAGCACCAGCCACAGTTCTCTCCATCCGCAGCAGCAGCAGTGCTTCCAGCAGCAGCAGCCACCACAATCTCTCCAGCCGCAGCAACCGCGGCAGCATCAGCGGTGCTTCCAGCAGCAGCAGCAGCCCAATCTCTCCAGCCGCAACCGTCACAGTCTCTCCCACCGCAGCAGCCGCAGCAGCAACAGTACTTACAGCAGCAGCACCCGCCGCTCTCTCCCTCTTCTATCCATGAAACAACTCTCCAGTACTCTGTGTTCCCTCCCTCTCCTTCCCCCCCCACCCTGGACTTTGTCCTTGACAGTGGGGCCACCGAAACCGCACTAAAAGACGCTGGCACCCTCACCCCCCTTCCACTTCCCACCCAGGTTCATGGTGCCGACTCCAGCTTTTCCATCCCCTGCACTCACCTCTCCACCCTTCCTTGCACCGCCTTCCCATCCGGTACAGTCACCGGTCTCCACATCCCTACCCTTCGCAATAACCTCCTCTCCCACCGTGAACTCCAAGGCGTTGGCATTACCGCCATATACCCTGGCTTTGCTTCCTACTGCGATCTCTACCACACCGCCTCTGGTCGTTTCCTCCTGCGCATTCCCCTTTGCCCTCGCACTCGCCTTTACACGCTCCGCACACCGCGTCCCTCCTTTTGTCACGTCACCACTCGTGCTGGTACTTCCACCGGTCCCCTTCTCCCTCCCCCTCACCCTCCCCCTCCCCCTCCTCCGATATCCTCCTCCTCTACTCCATCCGCCTCCTCCTCCCCCCCCAACTTTTCCCCCACCCCATCCCCCTCCTCCTCTACTGCCCTCTCCCATCCTGCAGTGCTCCTACATCACAGACTCGGCCATCCCAACTTCGCCGCACTTCGCTCCACCGTCACCTCTCGCCTCCTTAACAGCCTTCCTCCCACCTTACCTCCCCTCCCCTCCTCCCCTGCTCCCCCATGCCCATCATGCATTCATGGCAAGCTCAAACAGTCCCCCCATCACAGTCATCCCACCTTCGCTCCCGCCCCCATTGACCTTGTTCACATGGATCTCTGGGGCCCTTATCCCATCCGCTCCTGTCAGGGGCACAGGTACATGCTCGTGCTCGTCGACGAACACAGTCGGTACTCCACCGTCTTCTTTCTTCACACGAAAGACCAGGTGCCGGCTGTGGTCATCAACTGGGCTGAGCAGTGCCGCAACCACTTCAAACGTCCCATAGGCCGCCTTCACTCTGACGGTGGGGGTGAGTTCATCAATCATACTCTCTCCACTTACTGCAAAATATACGGCATTCAGCAGACCACCACCCTTCCCCACTCCCCTCAGCAAAACGGCATCGCTGAGAGTCGCATCCGTGAGATCACCAAGATTGCGCGCTGCCTCATTGCTCACGCCTCCACCCCTCCCTCCCTCTGGAGCTATGCCCTCATTCATGCCGCCCTCCTCCTCAATCTCCGCTCCCACCCTCAGCATCCCTCCTCCTCCCCCACAGAACTCTGGTCCAAGGCCAAGCCTGACGCCGCAGGCCTTCGTGTTTGGGGCTGCAAGGCGTTCGTCCTCATTCCACCGGCCGACCGCTCCCGCGCTGCTGGCAAGCTCGCTCCTCGCGCTCTGGAGTGCGTCTACCTTGGGCACAATCGTGATTCCCCAGGCTACCTATTCCTCCACCCTCCCACCAATCGCCTCATCCGCAGCATTGCCGTCGTCTTCGACGAGTCCACTCCCTACTACTCCACCCCTCCTCCTGACCCCCTCCCTCCTCCCACTCGCCCCCTCGCTTGGACCGACACCATCCTCCCGCCTCTTATCCCTCCAGCGCCTCTCCTCCCACCTGTCTCCGCCCCACTCCCGCCTTCCTCCTCTGCCGACGTCTACGACCCTGCCGCACCCGCCTCCCCCGCTCACTCAGCTGCACCCCCTCCCCCCTCTCCCTCCTCCTCTCATTCTCCTCCTTTCCAGCAGCCGGATCAGCAACAGCAGGGGCAGCAGCAGCAGCAGCAGCCGGATCAGCAACAGCAGGGGCAGCAGCAGCACCAGCAGCAGCAGCAGCAGCAGCAGCAGCGGGAGCAACACCAGCAACGGCAGCAGGGGCAGCAGCAGCAGCAGCCGGGGCAGCAGCAGCAGCAGCAGCAGCAGCAGCAGCAGCAGCAGCAGCCGGAGCAGCAGCAGCAGCAGCAGCAGCAGCAGCAGCCGGGGCAGCCGCATCAGCAGCAGCCGGGACAGCAGCAGCAGCAGCAGCATCAGCAGCAGCAGCACCAGCAGCAGCAGCGGCGCCGTGCCACTTCCCGCTCCTCCCCCTTCCTCCTCCCTTACATCCATACCCGCTCGGTGGACAAAATCCTTGGGGCTCCTCCTCCTGCCTCCATTCAGCTCCTTGAGGACTCCCATGAGGAGTAGGGGCTGCGACGGGGTAGGGGGCGCGTTGGTAGGTGGGGTCGCGATGGTAGTAGGGGTCGCGTCAGGCAGTAGGGGCCGTGACGGGCGACAGAGGGGCCACGACGGGCAGGGCGCGATGCGCGCTTCGGGCAGGGCAGGAAAAGAAAAATTGTGGTGGGCCCTTAAAAAAACGTTCCCACTAGGGAACCTGCTCAGAATACCATGTTAGAATGTGAGCGAATGAATGACTGAACTAGAAAGCAGGTGGGTACATATGGGAAACCTAAAAGTATTGTACCCTGTAAGAACTACCCCACTACAGCCTAAACAGACTATTTATACTTGCATGCTTACTCTTGCTAGGCTATGAACACTGTACTGCTTGTGCTCTTTATACAACACTGCATGTGAACTGGCCTTGTGGCCCTTTGCTTGTGCTTGGACTGTGTGGTGACTTTGTGATCCACCCTGAGCTTGCTTTGCTTTTCTTGACTGGTCTTGTGACCACTTGTTCTCCCCCACTTTGCCTATGGGGGTGTGTCAAAATGTTATATTGCTTACTTTGTGTAGGCTATAGTGGGGTAGCCCATCAAAGGTACAACCCAATTAGGGTTAGTACTTGTACCCAACTCTTTCATAGTTCATTCATTCTCGTTCATTCTTCTGATTGATAGCGAAGCTGGCTGCCACCTTGGGGTCCCTCGGCTTCTCTGCTTCCCACTCCGACGCCAGCCTCTTCATCCGCTCCTCCCCCCGCCGCTTCTTCATTCTGGTATATGTCGACGACATGATCCTGCTCTCTGACACCAAGGCCGACATGGAGCAGGTGAAGCTGTCCTTGCAGCAGCGGCTCAAGTGCAAGGACCTTGGCGCCCTCACTCACTACCTCGGCATGACCATCACGCGCAACCGCCCTGCTCGCACAATCACCCTCTCCCAGTCCCATTACATCGGCCAGGTCTTGGAGAAGTTCGACATGGCGCAAGCCAAGCCTGTTTCCACCCCGCTCCCCTTCGGTCACCAACTCGCTCCACCCACCTCCCCCACCTCCTCCCCCCACCCCTATGCCGAGCTCGTTGGGTCCTTGATGTACGCAATGATGTGCACCCGCCCCGACCTCGCCTACCCCATCAGCGTGCTCGCTCGCTTTGTCGGCACCGGTCGTCACTCTGAGGAGCACTGGAAAGCTGCCAAGCGGGTCCTCCGCTACCTTCGCGGGACCAGGGACCTTGCCCTCACCCTCGGCGGCCCTTCCCGTCCCCTTCTCTCGGGCTTCAGTGACTCCTCATGGGCTGACACGCAGCCGGACCGCCGCTCCTCCCAGGGCTACGGCTTCACCCTTGGCAGCGGCCTCATCAGCTGGCGCTCCACCCGCTCCTCCGCCATCTCTCTCTCCACCTGCGAAGCCGAGCTCTACGCTGGCACCATGGCCGCCCAGGAGTCGCGCTGGCTTTGCTTCCTTCTTGCGGAGCTTGGCGCCCCCCAGACGTGCCCCACTCTCTGGTGCGACAACGCCAGCACCATCCATCTCACTCAGGACCCCGTCTATCACGCCCGCTCCAAGCACATCGAACTCCGCTACTTCTTCGTTCGCGAGCTCGTCCAGAAGGGCCTCATTGCCGTTCGCAAGATTGCAACCGAGGCCAACTTGGCCGACATCTTCACTAAGGCCCTCCTTCGCCCCGCGCACTCTGCCTTCCTCCGCCTCATTGGCCTTGCTCGCCCGGGCGCCCCTTGATTCAGGGGTTGTTCTCTTCTTGTGTTAGCATGCTAAGGGGTTGTGTTAAAATATATATTGTGTAGCATGCCAACACATGTGACTGTATACCAATTGTGGTGTACAGTTGGGTTGGGACTACACCCAACTTTGGGTGTAGTCTTGCACTTTGGGGTGCCAATCCACCCAATTGTGGTGGAGCCCCCAAATGCAACCCTCTTGACTTGTGGGTACCTCACTTCCCACAATTGAGGTTACCCCAAGCCAAGTGGGCCTAGGGTTGCCTCACTTCTACAAAGTGTGGGCAACCCAACCCACTTGACCTATGGTTCCCTCACTTCCCCAAGTGAGGTCAACCCAACCTATGGTCACTTTCATCCTTCCCTTCCAACCTTCCCTTCCAACTATGTATGCTAGGTTGTTCCTCTAATCTGATCACTTGTTCAATTTGCTACTTTCACACCCTGCTCCCTGCTCCCTGCTCCCTGCTCCCTGCTCCCTGCTCCCTGCTCCCTGATTCCCATCTCCCCTCTCCCACCCCCTTCCTTCCATCCGCCAGGCGGCCTTTGCTCCTCGGCTGTGGCTCTCATGCACCGGCTCACATCGGAATCGAGAATGCGCCTTTGAGGCTCCTAGAACACAAACCCCACTTCTCCTTCTGCTCCATGCTCCCTGCTCCCTGCTCCCTGCTCCCTGCTCCCTGCTCCCTGCTCCCTGCTCCCTGCTCCCTGCTCCCTGCTCCCTGATTCCCGTCTCCCCTCTCCCACCCCCTTCCTTCCATCTGCCAGGCGGCCTTTGACTCCTCGGCTGTGGCTCTCATGCACCGGCTCACATCGGAATCGAGAATGCGCCTTTGAGGCTCCTAGAACACAAACCCCACTTCTCCTTCTGCTCCCTGCTCCCTGCTCCCTGCTCCCTGCTCCCTGATTCCCGTCTCCCCTCTCCCACCCCCTTCCTTCCATCCGCCAGGCGGCCTTTGACTCCTCGGCTGTGGCTCTCATGCACCGGCTCACATCGGAATCGAGAATGCGCCTTTGAGGCTCCTAGAACACAAACCCCACTTCTCCTTCTGCTCCCTGCTCCCTGCTCCCTGCTCCCTGCTCCCTGCTCCCTGCTCCCTGCTCCCTGCTCCCTGCTCCCTGATTCCCATCTCCCCTCTCCCACCCCCTTCCTTCCATCCGCCAGGCGGCCTTTGACTCCTCGGCTGTGGCTCTCATGCACCGGCTCACATCGGAATCGGGAATCCCCAGCCACCTGCACCCCACCGCCCTCTACTCATACGACATCATGCCACCGCCCCGCACTGTAAGTGACTAGCTTATAACGAGTGCTGGTGTAAGTTTCTGTTGTGATTAGGTGCTGAAAATGAGTTCCCAGCCACCTGCACCCCACTGCCCTCTACTCATATGACATCATGCCGCCGCCCCGCACTGTAAGTGATTAGTTGCTTGCTGACAAGGAGGTGGCTTGTATTGAGTCCCCGTCCACCTGAAATGAGTCGTGTTTTGAGTCGACTCAAAACACGCACCCCGCACTGTAAGTGATTAGTTGCTTGCTGACAAGGAGGTGGCTTGTATTGAGTACCTGTCCACCTGGAGCCTGCACCCATGGTTCTGCCGGGTATTTCCGAGATAAAAAAAATAAATCCTAGAAAAAACCCTCCACCTGCACCATGGTTCTGTACTATCATGCCACCACACAGCACTGTAAGTAGCCTGGTGTAACTTCTTGCTTATAACGAGGCGACTTTAATCAAGTTCACAGCCACTTGCAAAAGGACATGCTCCATTAAAAGGGGTGTTAGTGAAGTCAAGAATATGTTGGTGTAATTTTGAGAATTTTCAAAGGGAAATGTTTGGGCACCTTCCCCAGTTACCCTTCGTCTCACTCCAACCTCCCCACCCTTCCCCTCCCATCTTTCTTGGCAGCCGGAGAAGCAGCTGGGGGAGACGCGCTTCATAGACCATCAGAGGGGATGAAGGGGGCCACGGCGCTCACACACCTCTCTCCCCTTTCTCTCTGCCCCTTCCCACCCCCCTACCCATCTCTCCTGGCAGCTGGAGAAGCAGCTGGGGGAGAAGCGGATTTTCGGCTTCCATGGTGTGGTGTTGAGGGCGATGCACAGAAGCCTTGTTTGTGCCTTTCTCTCTCTCACCCTTCTCTCCTCCCCCCTCCCTTCTCTCCTCCCCACTCCCTTCTCCCGGCAGTTGGAGAAGCAGCTGGGGGAGAAGCGAATCATCGGGTTCCACGGGGTGGCGCTGAGCGTGGGCGAGGAGGTGGACTTCAGTGCTGTCACCGCTGGGATTGAGGACCGGAGGGAGGTGAGAAAAAGCGGGAGGTGACAGTGGTGTGCTGTAACAGAGAGTATGGAGGTGAGAGTGATGTGAGTTGTGTGGCATTGAGCGTGGGGGAGGAGGTGGACTTTGGTGCTGTCACCGCAGGTATTGAGGACCGGAGGGAGGTGAGCGAGTGGTCTGATGAGAGGAAGGGGGCGAGAGTGGTGTAACAGAGTCCTCTGCTGTAAGAGGTATGAGAAGTTTGCTGTGTGTGGCGTTGAGCGTGGGGGAGGAGGTGGACTTTGGTGCTGTTACAGCTGGGATTGAGGACCGGAGGGAGGTGAGTGATTCGTCGAATGCGCTGCTGCTGCTGTTTGTGGTGAGGGGAGGAGGGAAATGACAGCTCTGTCCTGTGTAGCACTGAGCGTGGGGGAGGAGGTGGACTTTGGTGCTGTTACTGCAGGGATCGAGGACCGGAGGGAGGTGAGCGATTGGGTTGAGGAGACAAGGGGGGTGAGAGTGGTGTGTTGTAACAAGCTTGAAAGGTTTGGGCTGTTGAGCGTGGGGGAGGAGGTGGACTTTGGTGCTGTTACAGGCTGGGATCGAGGACCGGAGGGAGGTGAGAGTGGTGTGCTTTAACGAACTTGTAAGGTGAGAAGGAGAGGGAGGTGAGGAGACCAGGTGGGTGGGGGACAGGAGGGAGGTGAGTGGTTAGTGTAATATTTTCTTCCCCATTTCCGCTCGCCTCTTTCCATCCCACTGCTCTCCTCACCTGCCCATCCTCCGTATAAGCAGGCTCAGGAGAAGTACAGCGATGCGCTGTTTGCTGCAGTGGAGGAGCAATATGACCTGCTGGTGCAGGCGGTGCAGGAGAAGGGGTTAGATGCTTCCACAGATAAAGTAAAGCTGGAGCAGACATGGCTGTAGTGGACATGACACGTGGCTGTAGCAGCGGCTGTAGCAAGTTGGGGCTGTAGCAGGTGTGGCTGTAGCGATACAGCCTGCTGGTGCAGGCGGTGCAGGAGAAGGGGTTAGAGGCGTCCACAGATAAAGTCAAGCTGGAGCAGACATGGCTTTAGCAGAGATGACACGTGGCTGTAGCAAATGTGGGGCATGACTGTATCGATGTGACTGTAGCTGATACGGCTGTAGCAGTTGTGGCTGGAACTGACATGGGCTGTTGTGGTTGGGCGAGGGAGATTACTAGTGGCCCTGACTTCATGCTTCATGTTTTATTTTATATTTCATTGTTTTTATAAATGTAGGTCGCATTTGAGCTGCAGTTAGTTCATGTAGGTCATAAGAGTTTGACTATAGAAGCTCTGTTATACTTATACAGTTGGTTTGTAACAATAAAGAAGATTTGCAACAGGATTTCATACTCTAGCTATCCAGGTGATGGTCTCAGCTACCGTTACCGTACCACATTTTATTATTGCATGAAAATAAGCTCTAATGTACCGTAATTACCCGACTAATAGCCCCCCCAAAATTATAGACCCCCGGGTTGTTAAAGCAAGGGTGCACATTGTCAAATGTCAATGTTATGATAGGCTGCAGTGAGGTACTCCCTAGAGAGTATAGCTTTTGTAGGATTCCTATTTGTACCCTTGCAAACCCTAATTCCAATCATTCCGTTGCATTCCTATTCTGAGATGGTATCACGAGTAGGTTAGATCCTCATTCGTTCTTAGCTAGCCTCCGCGCCCTACGCGCCCTCCGTGCTCTCGCGCCCTCCGCGCCCTCCGCGCCCTCCCCGCGCCTAGCCCGCGCCCTCCCGCGCTGTCCAGCCCGTCGCGCGCCCTCCTTAGACCACAACGAGCCCTCCCCCACCGTCGCGCGCCCTCCTTAACCGTCGCGCGCCCTCCTAAACCGTCGCGCGCCCTCCTTAGACCGCCGCGCGCCCTCCCCTACCGTCGCGCGCCTGTGAATCAAGAAAAACAGGAATGAGAATGACTAAGTGAAAGTTGGGTACAAGAAGCAAACCCTAGAAAACTGTACCCCATATGTGCTACCCCACTCTAGCCTACAGTAGCTATGTCATATAAATCTGACACACCCCCATAGGCAAAGTGGGGGAGAACAAGGGGTCACAAGACCAGTCAAGCAAAGCAAAGCAAAAAACAAGCTCAGGGTGGATCACAAAGTCACCACACATTCCGAGCACAAGTTCAAGGCCACAAGGCCAGTTCACAAGCAGGAGTACACATATATATAAAAAAGGCTAGACAAACAAGAGCAGGTATATATATATGTAACAGTACAAGCAAGATCAAGAGGTAAGCAAGTGAGGCAAGGTAGGCACAAGGCCCAGCTGAGTACAGAAGCGCTGATGGTCACAAGGCGCAAGTGCCTTGGTGAAGATATCAGCAGTGTTGGCCTCAGAGGCCACGTACGCAAGACGCAGCTGACCACGCTGCTGCAGCTCACGAGCAAGAAAGTAGCGGAGAGCAATGTGCTTCGTTCTGTGCTCCAGTCGCTGCTCCCGACACAAGGCCAGCATGGCCTTGTTGTCTACGTACAGCACTGGAGGAGAACGAGGCAACTCTCCGAGGTCAGTCAGCAGGTAGGTGAGCCAGCGAAGCTCCTGTGCAGCCATGGCTCCTGCGTAGATCTCAGCCTCACAACTGGAGCCGAGAACAGAAGACGAGCGAGTAGCCCGCCACGAAACAGAGCCGGAACCAAGGCTGAAGGTGTAACCCTGCGACGACCGCTGCGTAGCCTGGTCGTCAGCCCAAGAAGCGTCTGCGTGCCCAGTAAGGACCACTGGACTCTGCCCTCCAAGCACAAGCCCCATGCCCGACGTACTGCACAAGTAGCGCAACACCCTCTTCGCTGCAGCCATGTGCTCCGGTCTGTGTCTCCCAGGAGCAACATAGCGTGCAAGAATGCTAAGAGGGTATGCAAGGTCAGGTCGTGTGCAGGTCATCAGGTACATGAGGCAGCCAACAAGCTCTGGGTACGGGCCACTCGACTCTACGGACTCATCCGAAGGCAGAGCTGAGAGCGAGTGGCGAGTAGGCAGAGGAGTGGCCTGAGGCGAGGAGTACGTGAAGCCGAAGCGCTGAAGGACCTGCTGCACCATGTGTGACTGAGTCAGGGTAATGGTGCGGCGTGCTCTGTCCCGAGTGATCTGCAAGCCAAGGTAGCTGCGCAGTTCACCCAGGTCAGTGCACGTGTGTCTCTTCTGCAGCTCGGACTTCACGTGGGCTAGTCCAGCAGTGTCAGCTGTGGCAAAGACCAAGTCGTCGACGTACACGAGGATGTAGAACGGCGGCAAAGAAGTGTCGGTGCGCAGAAACAGCGACGGGTCGGCAGTAGAGGGAGCAAACCCAAGAGCCGCAAGTGTAGTCCTCAGTGTGTCGTGCCACTCACGCGGTGCCTGGCGGAGACCGTAGACTGGCCGCCGTAGGCTCCACTGGGTGCCAGGAGGAAAAGACCCAGTGAAGCCAGGTGGGCGACGCAGCCAGATCTCCTCGTGCAGGCTGCCCTGCAAGAAAGCAGTGCTGAAGTCAAGAGAGTGTAGCTCGTAGTCACGGTGAGCAGCTACGTGCAGCAGTACCCGAAGAGTGGTCATCTTCGGGGTGGGAGAGAAGGTCTGAAAGTAGTCAACTCCCTGCCGCTGACTGAAGCCACGAGCCACGTAACGCGCCTTGAAGACAGGCGGAGAACCCGGCGGTCGCTTCACCCTGAAAATCCACATGCCACTGACGATGTTCGCCCCAGGAGGGGGAACAGCGTCAACGTAGGTGCCTGTGGACTTCCAGGAAGCCATCTCTGCGTCCATAGCTGCCTGCCACTGAGAGGAGTAGGGACCCTCTATCGCCTCCGCGTAAGAGCGCGGAGTCGGGATGTCAAGTGCATCCGGGTCTCCCTCAGGGGTAAGCAGTACGGACACGAGATGAGGTGAAGCAGCGGCCAAGCACTGGAACTCCTCCTGCCTGTCCTCAAGGACGTCCGTGCCAAGGGCACACTCACCCCCGACGGACGGAGGACAGACAGACTCAGACTCAGCAACAAGACTGGCGACGTAGTCTAGGCGACAGCGAGCAGCAAAGTCGACGAGCTCAGCAACTAGAGCAGACGCAGCAGTGGACTCAAAGGAAGGGTCAGTGACAACCGTAGCAAGGAGACGCGTGACAGTAGGACTGGCAGCGCGAAGAGAGTCCGACTCCGGGTCGGCAAGAGTAGGAAGAGAAGACTCAGGAGGAGAAGGCAAAGGGGCACGCAGAGGAGCAGTGGACGGACGCAGAGACATCCGGTGCGTGCCAGGGACAGGAGGAGGACGCTGACGCGAACCGCGACCACTAGTGCGAGCAGCACGGACAGGCGACGCAGGGCGAGACGCAGGCTCACGACGCTCAGCAAGACCTCCAGTAGGACCAGTGTAGGGAGACGGAGCAGGCAGTGGGGAGGCCGGCTGTAACTGTAACTGCGACGGGACAGGCTGTGGACACTCTAAGGGAGGAGGAGGACCAGTAGAAGGCGGGAGACCAAGAACCTGCTGAAGGAGCGGAACGAAGTACGGCCGAGGCCGCGCGGCGACTCCAGACACAGGAGGGACAGCACCAGCACCCGCAGGGGCAGCACCAGCACCAGTAGCAGCTCCAGCTCCAGAACCCCCAGCAGCACCAGTAGTACCCCCAGCAGGACTGCCTCCAGGACCGACAGCAGTAGCCTCCGCGCCAACACCCGCAGCAACTCCAGCTCCAGAAGTACCCGCAGGTCCAGCAGCTCCAGAACTCCCAGTACGAGCACCTCCGGGACCCGTGGCACCAGCTCCCTCAGAAGCAACAGAACCTCCAGTACCCGCAGCACCTCCAGCTCCACCAGCTCCAGCAGCTCGCCTCCAGCGCCGGGCAAACCACTCACGCAGCTCCTGGGGAGAGAGTGGCTCTCGGCGAGAGGGAGCACCCGGTGAACCGCCAGGCACAGCACCACCAGGCGTAGCACCCCCAGGCTCAGCACCTCTAGGCGTAGTACCCCCAGGCTCAGCACCCCCAGACGCAGCACCCCCAGGCTCAGCACCTCCAGGCGTAGTACCCCCAGGCTCAGCACCCCCAGTCGTAGTACCCCCAGACTCAGCACCCCCAGGCTCAGCACCCCCAGGCTCAGCACCCCCAGGCGTAGCACCCACACGCTCAGCACCCCTAGAGTCAGCACCCCCAGGCTCAGCACCCTCAGCAGCACCAGAGTCACCAGCGACCTCAACAGGCTCAACAGCGTCTACCTGGGACACACCTGAAGGGGCAGGACCCTGAGGGGGGAGGGGGTCTACCGGGGGGGGACCTGGTACAAGGAAGAGCGGTGGCGGGGGGAGGGACGGAGTGCGGTAGGGGAAGAGGCGGTAGTAGGGGACCGACTCGTCGAACGTGACGTCCTGGGAGGACAGAACACGGCGAGAGGTGGGGTGGTAGAACTGCCACCTTGGGGCGTCAGGGGGGAAACCCAGGAAGACGCAAGGAGCAGCACGAGGGGACAGCTTGTCCGCAGACAAGTCGCGGACAAACGCCCGAGATCCCCAGACACGGAACGCAGACGCATCGCCAACCTTCCCCGTCCACAGCAAAGCTGGGGAGGACTCCGGCATGGAGACCCTGGGCTGAAGGTTGATCTGATGCGCCGCGTACCGAACCGCAAACGGCCACAGAAAATGGGGGGCAGCCGCATGCATCATGGACGTACGGGCGACGTCCATGACCATGCCAATGCGGCGCTCAGCAATCCCATTTTGCTGTGGAGAGTCCGGAAGCGTGAAGGTCTGGCGGATGCCTCGTGCACGACAGTAGGCTCGCAGAAGGCCAGAGGAGAACTCTCCGCCTCTGTCAGAGTGCAGACGCAGAACAGGAAAGTCCGAGCCAAAGCTCCGCCTGAGCTGGAGACGAGCTGCGCGGATCCAGTCGATCAACACCTCAGTGACATCACCC